TCTTCAAGATGTTAGGCCCAGCTCTCCAGCGACCCTTCCAACTTTTTGGCGGGGAGACCCTGCGAACTTCGCACCCGAAAAAGGCTTTCCAAGCCGGCAGTATGGCCAGGACCTAACTCTCATGTTTGCTGGCTTCCCACTAAAAACTATGTTGCCCAGTGGTGCCCTTTCTTCCTTTTTTTGGGTACAATCAACAAAAAAAAGGTGCCCTTTTTCCCCATGGCCACTGGGCATCAGAGAAAAGGAACACGATCGACAAATTGAAGACTCAAATGCATGTGGAGAACAGCGCAAGAGTGCAGGGCCCTGCCTTGGGGAAATCCTCGGCGGGGATGGAAGGGGTGCAGTTCTAGGGGACACTTCCCCATTCTTTCAAGGAATCCTGCTTTTCAGAAAACCAGCAGAATCCAAGAGGAAACAGCTGGTTATCGACAAAACGATGGTCGAAAAGAATGGTTGGAATCAGCCCCTAGAGCAGCAGTCAGCTGCCTCATGTGTTTTGCTTCAGGACGCGCTTGCAGCTTTGCACAAGCCCCAGACCAATGCCAATCGATTGGCATGGTGCCAACTCTTCCATGGGAAATGGGGGTGTCACTTTGAGAGGCACCCTTTTTGGGCTGGTTTTAAATGAACATGAGAGCAACATGAAAGACACACGCAAGCTTTTGGAGGGTATCCTTCGGTGGGTTTAAATGAACATCAAGGGGAAAAACACAATTGTGTAGGTCCCCCAAATGAGAAATACACCCGCATAAGGTTTCAGGGTCACTTGCTGTAAGCTGGCTTGCCAGCTGGAGTCTCGTTTGCTTTTAGCAAGTAATGGGGCCAGTGATTCCCACAACGCTGGTGGTACTATCTTTTTTTGCGTGCGAACAGGCCGTCCATAGTTTTGGCTTCGGAAGATATTGTTTCCTTTGATGTTTGAGGACACCTCAGGAAGAAAAACAAATCAGTTTGCGCAGGCTTGCGCATGGTTTCCGTGCTGTTCTTGCACAAAGTTCCGGACGCGCAGCCTGTGTGCGTTTCTAAGGTCAAGCCTGCTGCTTTTCACAAACTTCGCAGCAAAAACAGAGCGCAGACACATTTTTTCAGCACACAAACCGCACAGTTTACAAACATGGTCCTGCGCACAGATTTGGAAGCCAAGGCCGTGTAGAGGTTTGCTGGGGTTGCGGGAACCGGTTCTTGCAAGGACTATCATACTGAGGTGACTGCTAGACAATGTGATTCATTGCCAGATGTTTGCAAGCAGGTTGAAATGTCAGATGCATAACGGATGTGTGGAAATGAACCAGTGTACGCCGGGTGGGAAAGGAGAACACGCAGACATGAGGGGGGTGAGCAAGTGCATGCATATATGCACACTTGTATTTATATATAGAGAGAGAGAGAAGGTGTATGTCGGTGTATGTCACAGGTACCTACTCCGTGCCGCATGTTTCCTTTTGCTAGCATCTCAGGTTTCACTGAGAGGCGCCGAGTCACCCAGGAGCTTTGGTTTGAGTGTATTTTCGCTTGGCTGTTTTGATTGTTTCCTTGCCTGATTGTTTCATGGGGCCTGGGGGGGAGGGAGGGGAGGGGGGAGCCCAAACAAGCCCTAATTAAGCCCTTATTGAGGCCTTTTTCAGGTTTATTTGGGCTCCCTCCCCCTCCCCTCCCTCCCTTCCAGGCCGCATGATTGTTTGCTTGACTTGTTGAGCGGATACAGATTGCTTCTTTCCTTGCTTGCCCGAAGGGTCATCACCAAGTGTGTATGTTTGCAAGGCCAACGGGGAAGGGCCTTTTGTATCTGATTTCTTGGTGGCTCCAGCCATTCGGTTCCTTAGTTTTTTAGCTTTTTGGTATTTTAGTGTTTAGTGGTAGTTTCGATTTCACCCGCCAAAAGTTACACTTTTCGCAGTGGATCTCAGGGCAGCCCAGATTTGGTTGGTTTCTTCGTTGAAGCTGCAGGTCGCAGTTGGCGTTAGCGTCCCCGACAGAAGCGCCTCACGTGACCACGGCAGGCGCGGATCTGAGGGAGATCTGGGAGGTGCAGGTGAAGGGATCCCCAAATTTCTGCATGGAATCACCAAGCAAACAATCCCTGTTGTTTTGCTTGGCCAGCCTTGTTCTTTGTTTGCTTGTTTCTTTGCAGGGCTTGGAACAGCACCTTTTGGGCCAAAGTATTAACAACACTTCTAAATGTGTGCGTAGCCCAAAGTGAGTTTGCTGTTGGACCTGTCATCGGCCATCGGATTAATCCACAGAGGAACCTCTCAAAGTAGATAAGTTCCTTACAGAACCACCCTTGAGAGAAGTGCGGTCCAGGTTGCATTTGATGTCAACAGTAGAATAATGTTGACCCCATACTCATCAACCCCAGTTTATTTATAGTGGGGTGTTCCTGGGTTTCGTGGGGATTCATCACTTTTGGTTGGGGATGATTAATATGGGGTCAACATTAATACCCACACCCTTTTTGTGTTTGAGCCCAATTCAAAGTCAGCTTTCTTTGGGTGAGGTTCTTGGTGAGGAAATATAGGGAGCCTGGAGGTGCTTTGGCCACTCCAACAAGATGGCTTCTCAATTGATCATCCGTATTGGTGGTATCCTCTGGAAATATGTTATGTTGGTAGTAGGCTAAAGATGTAGCAGAACTTGAACATTTGACCTTGGCTGGCAGGCGGGGGAAAAAGGACAATCTTTAAATCAAGGGGGTATCTATCAGCAGTCAACATTAAGGAGTGTTGACCATGGCACATTTGGCTACAATGTTGTAGACGCATTCAGTAGTAAAGGTTCCAAAAGGATGATGAAGCATTAAGTTGGGCTGTTGGAGAAAGATGGCCACCCCAACTTGCATTCCACAAAGATCAACCTGTTGGTATGCCACTGGAGTACTTCGCCCAGGCTCTGAACTTGCGGGAAGTGGCAGGGAAGTTTAGACTTGCTTCGCCAATCACATCCGCTTGTTTTTCCTTCTGGCCAAGAGCAAGTTGGCATGGTTTGTGTTTCCTAAGGGCTGTACTCAAAGGTTGCCCTAAGGTTGAAATGGAGGACGCAGAGTGTTAGTATTTATTTTGGCTTCCCGCAAAATCAAGCGCCACAATTTCTGGCAATGGACCCATAATTGACCCACAAAGCCCGGTGGAAATTCACTAGCCCATGTGGGTATCGGTCAACAGAGGGAGCTCCCCCCAAAAATGGTGGTGGTCCCTTTGGCGTCCAGTAGAAACCCTTCACTCTCGTTCTCATCGATCGCTTTCCCGAGTTGTACACCCCAATGTTTTGATAACATAGATTGGCTAGGTCCCCCAGTAGTGCCCTTTTACCCTTTTTTGGGGGAAGGTTCCCCTACTAAAATAGACTAGAGGAAAAAGGGCACCCTTATTCCACCCTCTCTACCGGAGGATCTCCCACTTTTTAGCGCAGAGACACACTTCCCTAACCGCATGAATGGGGAGAATTCACGCCACATCATGGATGTTGGCGGGTGCATGGTTATGCCCCCATATGCCAACACAATCAAGCAAAAACGTGGGGGAAGCAGGATGTGCGCATTGTTTTCGGGGAATATTTTGACATGGTGTCCTTTATATAGAGGAAATTCTCGGACATCCCCGCTTCCCCCGTATCCCCGCTAGTTTGTGCTCACTGTGGAGCTGCTTGGTAGAGGCTAGCGGTAAACTCTTAAACAAAAAAAAATAAATCCGGCTCCGAGGTGAGGATTGCAGTCCAGAGATGTTGGCGACCAAGGCGCTTAAGGCGAAGTGGCAGTCGCGTTTCGGGGGCTCTTGTGCACGAGAGGGGGACGCCGGACTTCAGACAGGGACAACCTTGCTCGTGTTTGGATGTGGTTTTTTGGGAGGGTACCCTGATTTCGGGGGGGTTTTATAGGGAAACCCAAAGGAAAACCACCATTTTGAAGGGGTCCCCAAAAAAAGCACGCGCTTCTGGTGTTCAAAGTCAACCCTTGTCCCTAATCCCCAAGACCGTGGCCCGTTCGGTGTTCCAATGCACATGGCGGAGAAGCGATCCGTTTGAACAACTTAGTGCGAACCCGATAGAGCAACGGCTCTCAGTTGGAGGTGATTCGGTAACAGTTCCATGCTTTGGTTGGTTTCCTGCGACTTTTACAATTGACCGGAAACCAGTTGCTAATTCAATTTCCCTCCCACCGACTAACATGGAAGTGCACAAAGCCCCTTTCCAAGAGTAAAGTAGTCCTTCCATAGGGGTTTGTGCACTTCCATGTTAGTCGGTGAAAGGGTAGTACAGTTGCTATCTTGACTGTATAGGTCCCCCAGCAATGCCCCTTTACCCCTTTTTGTGGGAGGGTTCCCCTAGTAAAATAGACTACAAACAAAAGGGTACCCTTATTCTAACCTCTCCACTGGAGGACCTGGAAGGTAATCACTTGTGCTCAGATCCTTTTTTTTCCTCGTGGGAACTCTCTACGTCTCTCCCTCTTTCTTTTCTTGCAGGTGGCTTGTTTCGCTTCAGAGTTTAAAGCGTCATCTTGAGGATGCCACTCTAATTGACCCATTCCTTGAAAACTGAGCAACATCTGAACCGAGGGCTGATAGCCATCGATACCTTGCTCATTGCAGTGTTCTTTCTGCTTTTTCTGTGGGTGTACCTAGAGTTGCTCCGAAGAACCGCAGAAGAAAAAGAAAGGAACCAAAAACAAAAAACGTTTGCCGGGCCCCCGGGAACCAGTGGAGGGTAGAAGAAAAGCCCCGCGAGAGTGGGGCCTATCGAGTGTTGAAACCGTGGCGAGTGGTTAAACCACTCAGATCGATTCGCCCGGGTCTTCTTAGCCCATCCACATGTGTCTTGTGCTTTTGTTTTTCTTAGCATGGGAATAGATGGAAGCCTGGCTTCGGCAATAAACTGGGTCGTAAACCTAGAAAACCCCAGTCAGACTTATAGCCCTCTCACAAACGTCGGCCTTCCGCAGCTTTCAGCCAAAGGTGCGAATCGCAGCAGCAGAAAATTGGCATATTTGAGCTCATAGAGCAATGGATCGTGAGGACACCGCGCGGTGAAAGCAACTGATGTCTTTGCTCACACTACACACCCCCTGAGGTTGTAAACAGGGGTTCCCGAGTGGCCCCGGAATGCACCTCGTTGGTGGTCCCCAGCCGTCCGGTTCAGAAAGCTTTTTAGGCTTTTAGGGTTTAGTGGTTTCCATTTAACCCACAAGTGAGTCACTTTTCGCGGATCGGGTTTTAGGGTTTAGTGGTAGTTTCCATTTAACCCACTCAAAGTGTGTCACTTTTAGATCTGAAAACGGGCAGCCTGGAGGAAGCACCCTGGTCCACTCAGCATTCAGCAGTCTGATGGACAAGTTTCCTCTTGCACCAGGTAGGGGATAATAACAAATCCGGCGTCATAGGTTCATACGAACCAGTGCAGGAGTGCATCAGTACAAATTTCAATGGTTGGAACATCCAACTGGGTTCTGATGGCTCAGCCTCTTAGCAATCTGTTATTGTTGAAACAAAACAAACAACGAAAGGTTTTTTTTCAAGCCAATCCTCACGGAGTGCAAACCCCGGGGTCCCCTTCTTTGCCCCTTGTTTGAACCATCACCTTTTAGTTCTTTCAAAACTGAGCCTCCTTGTGGTTTACGCTCGAAAATGTCTGGAACCCTGCATGAAGCAAAAGCTGAAAGCCTTCCAAGCGGTGTTCAGTAAGCCTTGGTCGCCCCACAAAGCAGGCATGAATGGGCGAGGGGAAGAAGTTGTACCCGAAATGGTCATTGCTTTTTATGTTTGTTGTCTGTGTTTTCTTATGGTTTGGTTTCAATGAGTCAACTAACCGCAAAGGACAAGTTTACTGTTGCTCCAGGAAATCCACAGATGTTTGCCTCCGTCCTCTCTCCCAGTTGTTGTTTGCAAGGCCTTTCCCTTTTTGGACGTGACCGACAAAAAACCTCCCCTCACTCTCACCCACACCGTCGGCGGCGAGTCTTTCCTGTCGTTTTCCGGGGCGCTGGGTGTCGCAGAGTTCTAGGGGTACCTTCCATTTCCATTCTTTCCAGGGATCCGAATCTTTTCAGGAAACCCTCGAAAACCCAGAAAAACAACAGGCGGTGTTGAAAAGAAATGGGGAATCAACCCCTAGAATAGTGGGTCAACGGTTACAACGAGCGAAAGACATCCCCAATATCTCAAATCACGATGTTCTCATGGCCCAAATCAAATCACAAGGGTGTAAGGGAAGCGGACCATCTTTCATGTTTTTTTTTTTCAGAAGATAGTTTATTTGCCCGTCTTCGTTCTGGGGGGTTTGGGACGTCTCTGCAAATGGAGGTCTTTGTCCCTAAAATGTGTAAACTGGATTTAGATCCTAGAAGTCAGAAAAAGCGAACTTACAAGAGCTTGGAAAGATGACACAGCCTGCTTGTATAGAACATTGAGGCGAATGGTTTCAACAGGCTTCCCTTTGGGTTGAAACTTCGACGCTTTGAAAAGATGACCAAAGCTTTAGGTTTAGAACATTGAGGCACAGGGTTTGCCTTTGGTGCATGTATCCCTCCAGATCTCGGAGCAGGGATGACTTAACAAGAATCTGGCCCCCGACTTCTTCAGGGCATTTCCAGGTCTGGGTAGGTATATAACCAAGATGCTGACGTATACCCAGTAGTATTTCTTGCAATGCGAGGAAGGCGCCACCATTTTGCGGGTCCCCTACTTTGAGACACACCCAAATGCCAGGCCATAAGTGCACTTCCTCCAGGGTGATAGCAAATAGAAGGAATCCTGTAGACCAGATTGGTTGGTTTTCTGTTTGCAATTCACAACCACGAATTTCCCTTGTCGACAACGGTCATCTTAAACCTTGGGATTCTTCGGGTGTTTCACAAGACTCTGAAGGATTTTCTCTTGAGCCACTTACCAATCAACCGGCTTATTCGGCCACTGCGTATCAACCAGGGGTTCATGAATGTTTGGCTTCCATTATGAGCAGCATCGTGAAGTCTTTTCTCAAAAGAGAAACTTCATCAGGCAGATGCGAGCGCTTCCTCTGGAGAGAGAAGCGGAGGCTGGGATCCGATGGGAGAGACTGCGGTTGGTCTTGGATCTCGCCCGAAATCTGCGAAGCACAAGCTTGCCGAGAGCAGGTATGGGCCTCGGAGGTATGCAAGACTTATATAAGGGGGATAGGATATGCTTCGGTGCAAGCTTGTATTAGTGGTGTGTAAGCATCCATACCGCCAAAACCCACATCTGAGTAGGCGCTCGCAAAAAAGGTTTCTTTTTATCATATTTGTATTGGTTACGACCTACAGATTTCACTTGCTTGTGGTTGAGTCGAAATGAAAGGTTTCACCGTTTGCAAACATGACCCCCCCGCCAATGAGAGAGAGAGAGAGAGAAAGAGAGAGAAGAGAGAGAGAGAGAGAGAGAGAGAGAGAGAGAGAGAGAGAGAGAGAGAGAGAGAGAGAGAGCGAGAGAGCGAGAGAGAGCGAGAGAGAGCGAGAGAGAGCGAGAGAGGGAGAGAGAGGTATTGATCCATGGGGGAAGCAGATTACTCGCTGTAACTTGATTGACCTGCTTGAGGCTAGCTGAAAGAATGGTTGACCCAATTTGGATGATGAAACTCCTTAGGGCAAATGTAACAATGAGCTGAGACGAGCGAAACCCGGGATCAAGGCGGTTTACTGCGAGTTTCCTTTCAGGTGTGTGAAGTCAGAAGGTTTTTTGCTCAGTTCAATCTTTCCTCCAGCGCGCCCAACACTGACTTTCGGCCGAAGTTTGGACTTTGCCCCCACAGTTATCCCAGAAGACTTACAGTACCTTCGTGTCTCAACATCTTGCTTTTCAAATCAGAGAAGCGATTGGATCGGATCATCCTGATCGCCATGCCTGGAGTTGGGATCTTGGGATCCTAAAGGCCCTTGAGCATCGTAAAGTTGATCCAGAAGTTTCAGCTATGCAAAGCATGGCGACCTGAAGGGCCCCTTGAAAGTTGAGAAGAAACACAGACGCCGGAAAGAAAGACGAAGGCATGGTTGTTGGGAAAAAATATATATCACATTTTTGCTCATTGCGGTTTAGTGGTTAAAATCCAACCACTTCACTGCTGGAGTTCGCTCTTTTTTTGCTCCCCTTACGTGAACCAAGGCTTTTTTTCGGGTCCCCCAGTAGTGCCCCTTTTAGCTAAAATGGACAGAACAAGTTGGAACCCTTAGACTCAGCTCTCTGGAGGATCCTTCGGCTCCCTTCGATTCGGGTCCCTTTGGGTCGCTTCGCATCTTTTTTCCACGCCCTTCCGGGCTTGGAGAAGCGAGTTGTGCGTAGCGACAAAGCTGCCCAGTGGCTCAAACGGCAACCGATTTGGAGACCGCAAGACCACCCTTAGAAATGAGGAAGACCTGAACTAGCCTCAGAAGTTTGGGTGGCATCCAATTTGTGTAAGGGTTGGGTCCAAGCAGCTTGTTATCGAGACGAACCCGATTCCATGTGCGTTTCAGCCTGGAGTCTCCATGACCCTTAAAAAGCGGGGGTCGTTAGCCAAAAACATGGGATCATGGACCCATTTTCAAAGGGTCATGGAGACTCCAGGTAGTCCAGAAGCTTGTGGAGTAAGATACAACTAATCAATGTGTCCCCTCGTATTGCGATTTGATTTGCACAGACCCTGAATATTTTCCCGTCGGTTTTCGAATCCCCGACTTTTTCAGGTTTTCGACGGGCGGGTGGGGGTGGGGGGGAATCCGGAATCCACCCCTCGCGCAGGCGAAACCGCGGCCAGCCCGGCTTCGAAGCCCAGCCCGGATTTGTGTGCGACAGCCACTTTGAGACCATTCTAGGGGTTGATTCCTTGTCCATTCGTTTCAACCATCGTTCTTTTCAATAACCAGCTGTTTCCCCTTGGATTATGCTGGTTTTATGAAAAGAAGGATTTCTGGAGAGAATGGGGAAGTGCCCCCTAGAACCATGGTTGAATCTACATGGACCCCATATGTTTTGGGGCAATAGCCCATTTGTTAGGGTTGTTTGAGGGTCCAGGTAGATTGTTCCTGATAGGTATTACACGAATACATCATCAACAACCAGGGTTTCTGAACGGTGGTGTGCGAAATCCATCCAACGCACCACCGTTCAGAAACCCTAGTTTCTGATACGAATTCCCTCGTGAATACTAACAAACAATGGTTTCAACCATGGTGCCAAAGTGGTGCAGGATTTCGTCCATCGACAGTATTACAGGGGAATTATCAGAAACTAGGGTTTCTGAACGGTGGTGCAGGATTTGCTTGCAACCACAAGGTTTGTTACGGTATTTACGTTGGGGAATCGAATCATTCCAGGGTTTCTGAACGGTGGACGGGATTTCATGCATCCACAGTATTAATTAATATATAGGTTTGAAACCATTGTTTTCTATTTACATTGGGCAATCAAATCAGAGACCAGACTTTCTGAACTGCGGTGTGTTGGATGGATTTCCACAGTATTTATCACGTTTTTCCCCCCGGATGCCCTTTGAACCAAGCTGAAAAGGGTAGCCTCAAAACACACGCCCATGCCTCCCACTTGGGAATCCAATCCTGTAGGTTTTGGGTTACGCTCTCAGCAGCACGAAGAAGTGATCCCGAGTGCGGAAAATCAGGTTTTAGGCCGGTACTATTCACTAGTTTTTGGTGATGAGGGTTTGTTTCCATTTGCTTAAGAACTGTTTGAGCCGAGATCTGTGATCGTTTGGGAGCCTTCATATGGAAGGAGGGCAACCGCTGTTTTGGGTAACAATCCGCTGCCCCGAGGAAGCCTTTGCGGTTCCTCCGTCTCCCTCCGCGGACGGTGGCTGGGACCCTAGCCAAGTCACCCCTGCTCGTCAAGGGTCCCCGCGGTCTCCGACTTTGGGTCTCCAGAAAGCGTCGAACTGATCCTTTTCAATGCCATGGTCCGTTCCCTAGCGCTTACGGCTCAGTTGGGAATCACTTCCAACACCCCAGAACCACTTTTCCCATGTGCAAACAACCAACGGTCCAAAAAACCGTTGGGGGGTGCTGGTTGAGACCCTTGGGCTTGTGGCTTCGGGTCAAGCTCACACCTTTCCCAGATGTTTCAAGAGACACTCAAGTCAACCAGCCAACAAACGCACAACCCCCTTCTCCACCATGCCATGTACCTCCTTGTGTATCTACTGTCTGGGAAGGGTCGCTTAAGCACGGCTAGGGTTAAACCTAGTGCCGGGCTTGGGGCTTCGATCTAGAGGTGTCCTTCGCCCCTTCCGGAACACTCTTCGAGCCACGTCCTCACCGATTCCTCTGCAAAAGGACGGTCCCAGCCCCATGAAATCGGGGGGCTGACAAAAATGCAGAGGGATCCCGTCCAAGAAGGTCAGAAAACTCGAGATTGGCCTCGAGATTGGCGCCGAACTTCATTGCGGTGAAGTGTCTGAGATGAACCAGTGCAAACCGCAAGTCATATGTACAAATACACTTTTTTTGGGGGAGATGGGGGGACCTAATTGCATGGATTGTCTGGGTATTCTCACATCGCCTTGGGCTTCTTTCGAAGGCCAGGTCCTTACCAGAATGGGACAATAACTTTTCTGGGTCCCTGGGTTCCCTCGCGCGGCAAGGCGCAAGCTAGGAGGACCGCACTAGTCTTGATCACTAGCTGTCATTCAGGTTAGATGTGCTCCAACTCCCCTCAGTGGATTACACCCTCCTTTCTTTTTTGACCAACCAACAAAATGGAATGGTTCCAGCTCTTTGTGTACCAAACCGGCTTCCATCTGAGCAACCTAGTTAACATGTTGTTGCTTTTCTGTTGATTTTAAAGGGAGCCTATCACTACTGTAAACGTGTTATATGTATATATATATATATATATATATATAAAGTTTGGGTGTTCCGGGCGAAAAGGCGCAAAAAACGGAGCCCTGACCTGGGCACCTGAGAACTCGCTGCCATCCCATCCGAAGGCGACCTTGCCAACTTCCTGGACGAAGGCTCCGAGCGCTCGAGTGCTCGTCTTATCAAACCACGGCGCTTTGGCGTACCATGGCGCTTCGGCTTCCCTTTGGTTTCCCTTCACAAAGCCAAACCCCGAGAAGGGTACAAGAGAAGACAGACCTCCATGTTTTTCCCCGCGTTTGAAGGACAAGAAATGGTGGGCAGAGTTCTGAGATCCATGTCCGCCAACCACTTTTGAGGTGGTTTCACGGCCAATTGTTGTGGGGTGGGGAAAACTTTGAAAACCAATCAACCAAAAAGGGCCCCTTCCCTTTCTCTCCTGGAAATCCGCTGCATGGGTAGGGCCTTACAGCCCTTTCTACCGAGATTCACCCCAGCGTGACGGGGGTGTCTGTTTTGAGGGCACCCGTTGTGGGCTTGTTCTCAAGGGAAATCAAGGCGAAACAACCCATGTTGAAGCTCATGTGGGTGTCTCCCAATTCGGGTCTGGGACGGTCGGGATGGTCGGGACGACGTGGCATGGTCCAGTTTTGTTGGGCGAGAAACGCCGACTTTTCGCACCTCACAGATTCTTCGGGGAATCAGGTTTAGTTGGGAGGATTGCGATGGTCGGACTGGTCGGGACGGTCAGAGCGGCCGGTGCGGTTGGCACGGTCGGGATGCATCGGGCCACATCAAGCAGTCAGTTCACCGGCGTCGGCTGAGGTACCGAATTTCGCGAATGGGTTGGCCGAAATGCACGTTCTGGTCGGCCGAATTTCACATCAACATTTAGGCCGCCTAGTTTGGAGGCATCAGAAAGATGCAAGGGGCTAGGCAAGCATAATGCTGCCATCATGATCCTGAATCATGGCAATTATTTTGGTTTCAGAGCACTCCACAGCATCATTGACCAGCAGGGTTTTTGGGCGCTGCTCAAATCCAAAAGCCCAGTCCCTAGAACAGGAATGCTTCCCTTGTTCAACCACTGGGTTTTGATGGCCTCCGAGTACTTCAAGCCCATTTCGTCACCCGTGTTTTGTGAGGGTACCCATTTTGGGTGGTTCTCAATTTTGAAACCAAGGAAAACCGAAGCCATGTTGCGGGTGCCCTAACAGATACATCATGTGGGTGTTTCTTAAAATTAGGGACTGATTCTTTCAGGTGGTTGGTGTCCTTCGGTTTCCCCTGAAAGCCATCCAAAAAGTGGAGCCTATTTTCAGAAACAACCGTGTCAGAGTCAGTGTGTTTGCTTCCCTTGGCCTTCATCGTTCGAGTTGCCAGTGCGGTGAATCAAATTTGAATAGCTCTTGCATTTTTTCGGACCTTTTGATTTTAAGCCCCGTGTCGATCAAAACTGAAAAGTGAGCCTTACTCCAGGGGTTGATTCCCCATTCTTTTCAACCATCGTTCTTTTCAAAACCCGGATCCGTTTCCAACCTCGGTATTGGGTTTCCTGAAAGATTCGGATCCCGGAAAAGATTGGGGAAGGTACCCCTACCCCCTACTCCAAATACCCATTTTTTAAGCAGGGTATCATGTCGACCCTCTGCCAAAAAAGGAGGTATTTACCATGAAAAGCCAGGTTGTTCAAAAAATGCCCTAGAAAAAGTGGGTATTTGGAGTAGGGGGTAGACTTACGGCCCCCTTAAAAGACCAACTCTTCTTCGCGTTCAGGCGAGTGGCCGGAGGCCAAGGTCGCCCAGACAGAGGCGAGTCTCGAGTTGGCTCACGGGTGTGTGGGCGTGGTTTTGATGGTACCTGTTTTGGGCTTGGAAGGAAACACGAAAGGGAAACCGTCCAAATTGATCTTGTGTATGTTTCTTTTTTGGGGGGGGTCCCTAGATTGACAGGTACGTAGCCAGATGAGCAAAAGAAGGAGAATCATGCACGTCTCAACGGCCCCGCTCCTTTCCCTCCTTCTTCGACACAGCCTCGAAAGTCGCTGGCAGGCGTAGCACTTTCACCAGCATAGCCCCCTTTTAGGAAGCTAACCCAGGGCTCAGAGGAGTCTATTGGTGGCTCTTGGAAGGACAGGTCTTTTTGTGTCCTCTTTTGTGTGGTTCAAGCACCTCTGAAAGGTGTCCTTGTCGAATGTTCTTCAAAGGTGTCATACAAGTCCTGAGGCATCGAACGGATATTTCACGGAATGGTGCCATGCTGTGCTGGTTCTGAACCATCAGCTGGCGGCCTCACACCTGGTACTTTGTTTTGGAAAAGTCGAACTCGGAACCCTCGAAAGTGTTTGTCTTGGAAACGAACCACTCAACACACACCGGTGATGGGACGTATCGACCGAAGGACAAGTCGAAGGCCTTGGTTTCCAGTGCCAACACTCGCGAGGTGCGCCGAGCTTCAGCGCCGGCGGCTGTGTGGCTCGCGCCTCATCTCAGCTCTCAGACATGGGGTCCAAAATTGAAGCGCCGGGATCTGGACACCGGCTTGAAATTTGTGTTTCCATGGGAACCTAATTTTTGGGGTACCTATTCTTGACATCCATTTGGGCGTGCGCTTTGCTTTTTGAGGGATCGGACCCGCCAACGTGGCGCATCGAGTTTTTCTTGGGGTTTCCCTTTTGAAACCACCAAAAGGGGGTACCCGCCAAGCAAAACGGAAAGGTATCTCCTGGGAGTTGTTTTTTGCAGACAAGTGTTTGTTGTGTTTCCTTTCCATCCGTTGCAGAGGGCCACACGGACAATAGTTGAGGTTCAGGGCTCCATTCGGGACATCCCGGAAGCCCATTCTTTGGACTGGTCTACATGAAGCATCGTTCAATTTCAGAGGACTTGTGTGCCGTGGGCGAATGGCGCCGGAAACTCCGCGAAGCTCAACTCCAAAACCCGCAGCCCGCAGCGCAGGGCCCAGGGCTGCGCTTCGCAGAGGAGGTTGTGGTGGGGGGGTTGGGGGGGTTGGGGGTTGGGGGGTTGGGGGTTGGGGGGGGGTTGGGGGTTGGGGGGTGGGGGGTTGGGGGGTTGGGGGGTTGGGGGGTTGGGGGTTGGGGGGTTGGGGGGGTTGGGGGGTTGGGGGGTTGGGGGGGTTGGGGGGTTGGGGGGTTGGGGGGGTTGGGGGGGTTGGGGGGTTGGGGGTTGGGGGGGTTGGGGGGTTGGGGGGTTGGGGGGGTTGGGGGGTTGGGGGGTTGGGGGGTTGGGGGGGTTGGGGGGTTGGGGGTTGGGGGGGTTGGGGGGGTTGGGGGGGTTGGGGGGTTGGGGGGGTTGGGGGGGTTGGGGGGGTTGGGGGGTTGGGGGGTTGGGGGGTTGGGGGGGGGGGTTGGGGGGTTGGGGGGGGAATTTCGCGTGGAAGTCCTTTGGCTCCTACGGCCCTCAGGCCCGAGGCCGCATCGCCTTCGCAGGCCGAAGGGTTTGGGTTGGGTGTGTGGCTTTTTCTGTGGACCCTGTCTTGAGGAAAGGGAAGCCCAAGGGAAACTAGGTCCCCCAGTACCCCTTTTTTGGTTGGGAGGGTTCCCCTACTACAATAGACTACAGAAAACAGTTGGTACCCTTATTCTACCCTCTCTAGTGGAGGACCTAGCAAACCAACATTTGCAGGACCTCTGCTGTTTACGCAGATAAAGTTGCTATACCCTTGAAACTGGATGTACCTCAAGCCCCAAGATCCATTGGACTTCATACTTTTGGGAAGGCAAGTCTAGAAGCAAGCAAAAAAATGTTGTTTGCCCAATCTGAAGAAGTTATTTTCATGAAGCTAGGGTGGCCAAACAGTTCGGCACAGGTGTTCCCTCGTTGCTTGGTGGTGTTTTGCTTGCCACTAGGCATAGTCGACGGAAGGTCAAGCTTTCCCCTCTATGGCGTTGGTTCCCGCCAACGTGAAGCCAAACACGATCAGCCCTTCGTGGGGGAACATGTGTGGCTGGTCAGGTTTCTCCAATGTTTTGTCCCCTTGAGAGTGCCCAGAGGCTCCGATCGGCTTTGGGCTTTCAATGGAAGACCCGACCCCCTCCAAAACGGCACCCCGCAAAAATTGGTGGGGGTCTCAACACCAGGTGGTTTTGAAGGCCCTAAATGAATCGAGAGCCTCTGGGTGGAGAAATTCATGTCCATGCTGGCAAGACCCTTTGGTCAACTGTCCTGATGCCTCTGGGTGCACGGCTGCACTCGTTGCAAGGGAACACTCGTTTGCAGAGAAGATTCGCTGACCTTGATTCGGGTAGATGAGATGTAGTACAGGGGTCCCTAGATTTCCCCTGTTTGGTGGTTTTAAACATCACCCTTTTGGTCCATGAAAGGTGAGTATCCCTTGCTGGGGGTGATGTTTCTGAAGGGAACATAGGGAGGCCTGTAGTGAGTGCACAATGGTCTTGCCCACACAGCCGGATGACTTTTGCTGCTTGCGATAAATCCAAACTCGGGGCCCGCCCAAAAGCATGCGGAATGGGAGCTTTGGATTCAGAGCCCGAGGATAATGGAGGGGGTGATTCACAGCTTCCCATCGAGTTTATGTCCGGGTCATTGGCGGACTTCCTCTTGTGTCTATCTTGGATTTTGCCCAGAGTCATGGCCCCCCCAGTTCCCATTAAATCCCAAGCGGTTCGCCGCTTTGGGCAGCCCTTCGCCATGTTCATAAATGTTCAAAGGGCGGTTTCCTTAGCTGCAAAATCATGCAACAGCAATGACTGGTTTAGTAGTTAAAGGAATGACTGGATTGGTATCTAAAAGGAATGACTGGATTGGTATCTAAAAGAAGGCAAAGGAAGCCCTTGGGCTTTCCGGCGACCGGTTCCTATTTTGAGGAAGACCCCGGAAGTCAGGCGCGAGGAGAGCCCGCGGCGAGCTCCGGCTACGCAGGTGCGGAGAGCGGAAGCGAGTTTGGGCTGTTTTCCTGGGCCCGCTGTCAGAATCTAGGTCCCCCTAGGTGCTTGTTTGACCGTTTCTTTTTTGGTTGGTCTGGAAAAGGATTTCTGGAAAAAAGGGTGCTTAAGAACTAGGTCCCCCTGCTAGGGGCCCGTTGACCGTTTCTTTTTTGGTTGGGAGGGTTCCAATACTAACATAGACTACAGAAAAAGAAGGTACCCTTATTCTACCTTTCTACTGGAGGACCTAGGAAGTGGTGCCAAAGTTCGGGATTTCCGGAAAAATGGTGCTTAAAGGTAGATTGGCTATACCTGGCCAGAATCGGAGCAGATATGTTTGAGGGTTCGGGGGGTTCAGGCAGAACTCCGGCTCGTTCAAGCTAACGTTAGCGCCGGATTTCTCCCAATGGTTGATTTTGATTGGGGGTGTCCAATTCCTTTCAGTGGGGATGCAGACCACTGGAGGGAACACCCCACCAATGGGACGGGTTGATTGATCCTGGCCTCCGAGGGCTCCGTTTCAGAGAAAGAACGCCGCGCTTTGGCGGCGACGCATCCTTGCGTGGGATGTGGGATTCAATGGGAGAACATGGGACCGGAGGAATGGCGAGATGTTCCTTCCTGGAATTCATGGAGTCTTCGAGCCATCGATTTGCGGGCTGGCAGCGACCCAGTTCTATCGAACTGGGTTGCCGCGACTACGCCAAGCTTGCTTTTGGAGGGATTTTGCAACGATTCTGGGCTATACATTCACCCTTTTCGGGGGCGGGTTTGGCAAAAAACGTGCATTGGTCTTTAACATCGTTTCGCAACGCCTGACCCAATGTTTCTATTGCCATAAAACTGGTCACTCAAGCCAATATGCTTGCACAAACCCCAGTCTTTTGACTGTTTGTTTCTGGAACGACTCCGTCGCGAAAATGTTCAGGGCCAAGCTCCAGCCGACAGGACCGAAGGGCTTTGCTCGCGGGTTGAGGGCTAGGTACCGGTTTGTGGTGGGCAAATGGTGTTCTGCCAGCGCTCTCAAAAAACCGCACGAGTCCATAGTACCTCAGAAGAAATCTCTTAAATCTTGGAAGAGTTGGTTCCGTGTTCCGGCAGAGCGGGGTGTCCCGGGACGCGAACAAAGAAACACGGAGGCGCGAAGGAAACAGAACCAGCACCCCCAACATGTTTTTTTCTCCGTAAATCCGTTTGATACGGTACCCAAAGAGCAGTTGTTGGGACCCGGGTGCTGGGAATCTTGGATTGCATGTGTCAGGGGCACGCCAGAATTGAACGTAGCGTCCAGGCCCTACAGCCCCAAAAAGGGTCGTTCCTCGCGAGGAGGAAAGATGTTCGCCTCCAGGCCCGACCGAGGTTTTCGCCTTGTCGCTGACGGTCGGTAACCTCCCCATGCACTTCAGTTGCCTCAAGAGTTGGCAAACTTATTTTGCTGTCAGGTTTCTTCAAGCACTTTAGTGGGATAAACAGTTTCATCCGGTTTGTCCATGCACGGAATCATTTACCCGCATTTACCCTCTACAATTGTCATCATTTGCTGTGTGGATGAGTACATGTCAACACTCGGCAGTCAACGAAAATGAGTTGTTTTTTTTCCGGATTGGTGTCCCTGACCCCCTCCTCAAACAGCGACCCGATGTCCGGAAGGCCTGCGGCGCTTCATCGCGGACCTTTCCTCGCAGCTGGCAGAGGAGGCGCTCGAACTTCTACCGAACGTCGATCGGATTTTGAGCTGCGCTGGCCCAAAAAGTGGGGACCAAGCATCGCCAGCTTGCTCATGAAGGCGCACAGGGAAACAGTAGATGGCTGTGGGTCAAAAAAAATGGGTCACCCCAACACGGAACCCTGGTAAATGAAAACATGGACTAAAACCTGTGGTCCTCTGGTGGTTTAATTCTGACCCATACGTGCTGATGGTTTATGCGGGTAGTGGAAATGAAGCCAAATTGTTGGAATCGTGCCAGCTACTTCTGTAATGGGAATCCAGGTGAGAACCCATTTATCTAAGCAACAGCAGGGGCCCACTCAAGGAACTTTTCCGGAAGTCATGGAGCAGGGCTACATGTTTTGCCCCACGGGGCAAGCCCCGAAGTCGATCGGGCCCCCCCCAAAACTCTCCAAAGGTGTATCCCAAGTTCAGAGTTGTCATTTCTATGGGTCAAAACCAATGGTACCATTTTGGGGTAGGTGCATTCACCACCCATTTTAGAACCAATTTTAGTTGTTTTGTGGGGATGCTCACTGGTACGATTTGGATTTTGACCTCCATGGCCCACATTTGGGGCCAATCACTTTCACCCAAATGCCAGACTTAGAGAGTCCGAAGTCCGAATCCTGGATGAAATCCGCGGATTTTTGGTTTTGAGTCACGGCACTTTCCGGGTCCCAAGCACAAAAAGGTCTCATTGTTGGGGCCCCCGAAAATGAAACTCTAAAAAACACAGTTTGAAGCCTTTGGATGGCTTCCATTGAAATTTAGAGCCAAACTGTCAAGAAAATGGGATGGGTGAATGAGGAAAAGCAGGGTCTAGCCTTCTAGCCAAGTGTAGCGGTTTCCGGAATTCCCTTCCCGGGCTGAATGCTGACCTGGCCTTAAGAATCTCACCATGGATCTCGCTCCCTGTTTGTCCGGATCTAAGTAAATCCGATCCTGTTTAACAGGGCGTATTTTCGAGGGATGGACCACCAAAACGGGACACCCACATTGTTTGTTGTTGAACCAGGAGTTTATTCATCCCATCCATTTGCTTAATAGCTTTTTTTTGCCCTTGCTGGTTTTAAAGGGAATCTATCGCTACCGGACATAGTTTATTTTCTTTTCAGTTTTTCCAGGGGGCTCATCCGCAAATGGAAGATCCGGGGTTAACCTCACTTGGGGTCGGTCCGCACCCTCTGCCTTGCTCGGGCCAGGTGAAGCGGCGGCTGGTGGAGGAGACAACAACCCCAGCGGTTTTTCCTGTGGTTGCGAAATCCATTTCGCAACCTAAGAAACCCTGGTTTATTTGATACGATTCCAATGTAAACACCAACAAACGTTATGCTTTCAAGCATGGTTTCTTAGGTGGTGCGAAATGGATTTCGTCCATCCACAGTATGTCCAAAATCCCAAGTACTGTCCAACGAGTAGTTTTTTTTGGGGGGTGCTGGAAGGAAACTCTTGAACCCCAACTGATTATTCCAATGTGGGTGTGGCTCAAAATTGAACAGGAGGGGCAAACCGCCATGTTTTCACTTACCAGGGTTCCATTTCGGGTACCGGCTTTTTGAGCCACAGCCATGTCCAACATCCCAAGTACTGTCCTTTTGCGCGGGTGCTGGCAGGAAACACTTGTTTCTTGAAAAGTGCTGTAAACTGTAGATGGGCCATGTTGAACATTACAAGCAGCACATACAGCCATGAGCGTCCATGGCAAAACCAGGGGTTATAATTTAGGCACTTACTGCTGGATTCCACCAACTAGTTCGCTCTTTCAGCATGGAACCCACAGGTGGATCTGGCATCAAGACAACACAGAGGGGCCATGCAGACATGTGGGTATGAGAATTGGACAACCTCTCGAATCTATTTGTCCTATCAGGAGAGTTCTCACTGGGCGATCTCCCCATTCTTTTTTGCGAACCGAGAGCCGAAAGGTTGTTGCTTTTTTTTCAAGACCTCCAACGACTGGAATTCGGACTCACCGGTTTTCTCAATGCTGAAAAGATTGAAGGACGCCGGTCCGCAAACTCGCGGCACCGTTGGTCTGCACCGGAGTTGTTTAACTCTGCCTTCTGGAGTCGCTCGAACTTCTCGGGAAAACGTCAGCTGTCTGAGGAAACGACAGGGTATGGATCAAAATTGAACCACCAGAGGACCACAGGTTGAAACCTTGTTTCCATTTACCAGGGTTCCATTTTGTGTGCCTATTTTTGACCCACACCCAACTGAGCAAATCCTCCATGTTTCAGCATACTGCTGGTGCCAAATCTTCAGGTCTGGATGCAGCTCTAGTCCAGCCATGAACCATGTTGTGGTGTCCTTGTTGTCCTCAATTGAGCACCTTGATATCAAAGGTGCTCAGCTGCTTAAGACTATGGTTTATTTCCCCTGGCTAAGGGAATCTATCACGGGACATATGTGTTCCAGCTCCGCAAATGGGAAGTCTTCCGTTGTCCAAGCTCAGTGCTAGTTCTTCGGTCCTTAGATCCATGCGCCTGGAAGCGACCAGACAAACCCCGTGTGGCTGTGCTCATCAGAATCGGTGGCTCCACTGGAGCACCAGCCCATATGGCTGTGGCTCAAAATAAAACCATTAGCCATATGGACTGCAGAGTTTAGTTCAGATTTCCATTTACGAGGGTTAATTTTGGGTACCCGTTTTTGACCAGCGGCCATATTTCACCAGAGCCTGCTTCAAGGTTAAGATGCCTTAACCCGCAGTTGAACAAAGCTTAGTGAAAGCCATCCAGCCGCTGTGTGCCGCATGTCAAAGTGCGAGGCAAAACAAGTTGAGTAGTTGGTGTGCCAAAGATTGCCCAGAACAAGAAGGGATCCCTATTCAAAGGCGGGTTCCCTTATAAGGCCCACTGGACCAGTGAAATCCAGTGCTTTGATTGTGGCCCTGGTGTACCGATGCCAAGGCCCCGTCCGAAAAATAGAAACAACTTCGCCAGCGATCTCTGTCGCATCCAAAGGTGTCTGGCCGCCTCGGCAATCTTGAAACAGCGGCGTTTGATGTGCTGCGTAATGGACTCATGCGGAGCACAGACAGCCTTGCCGCCAAACCCTGTGGATGCCCAAATTCTTCGGCGCCAGAGTGGCCCCGCCCAGAAGCTACGATGCTCCGCCAACTGTCTGCGGTCAACAGGCCGGAGGCCGCAAAACTCTTGAGCTAGGTGCTGTTCGAAGCCAAGATGGCCAGCGAGCTCGGCCGCAACTTGTGCGGCAGCAACCACCTCAGGTTCTGCCAGCATGTCCAGCCCGCCAAATTGTTCTGTCATCCAAGAAAATTGCACAAGGAAGTGGCCCGCGGCAAGGCCAGCAACAGCCTTTGCTCAGCCCGAACAGCGGTAGGACAGACAGCTCCCTGGTCCCTTCGCGCATTCGGGGGAAAAAGCTGGCTGATTTGTGTGCAAAAAAACAGCTGCACAGTGTTTGGAAACACTCTGGCGATTGAACGATTCTACCTACAGCACCCCCCAACAACTGCTGCTATGTTTCCATGCCCAAACTCCCAAGTACTGTCCAAAGAGCAGTGGTTGGGGGGTGCTGGTGGGAGCTGGGTTTGTCTCCCAACCTGCACTTTTAGGGGACCTAGTAGTGCCCTTCTCTCCCCTTTTTTGGTGGAGGGTTCCCCTACTGAAATCGACAAAAAAGAAAAGTTAACCAACTTGTTTTCTAACCTCTCAAATCTGGAGGACCTAGTAGTTGTACCCAGGGTTTCTGCCACATCCGACTCTCCGTTTTTTTCGTGGGAAGGAGGACGAGCTGGAGCGCCGCGCCGCGGAGAAGACCCGCCTGCTGGAGGAGCGACCTGGGTTCAGTCAACATGGCCATGGGTTGCATAACCTATGGGGAGCCTTTTTGGGGTGGAGGTGTACATCCATTTGCCACAAATTCTGATGTTCACCAGGGGTGCAGGGTTTTGACCCACAGACACATGTCCCAGGGCGTAAAAATCTATTCTTCCAATCTTCCGGCCTTCGCGGGCAAAACCAAACGCCCCGAAAACCTCCAGACCCAGACAGGGCTGGCACCTTGAGGCCGGCCCTGAGGCACTCTGTTGCTCCTTGATGGCCTTCCAAGGGCCACTTCCCAAAGGACCTAACCTCTTGAGGCGGTCGGTGTGCTCTGACTGTTGGCCCAAAAAGTCCCAACCGCCAAACCTGGAAGCCGACTAATGGGGGGGGTAGAATTTCTGCCAACCTGCGAGCTGATGCTTGAGGGGGGGGTGTTGAGAAAAGTTCCCTGGATCCGTTCTTTTTAGCCATGATTTGTTGGTTCGGCGGGCCCACCTCTCCCGCAGGAGCTGGAGCAGGTCCGCAGACGGAAGGAGAAGCTGACCTTCGAGCAGAGGCCTTACGGGACGCAGTGCTCGTTTTGATGGCTTCCTGTGACATGCTCAGTGCTCGAAACAAATATTCTGGAGCTACGTTTGGCCATGGGTCAAAATCCCGTACCCCCAGCGAACATCCCAATTCCCACTAAAGTAGACTAAACTGGGTGGTGCACCTAAAATGGTGTCGTTGGTTTTGACCCACAGCCATTTCCGGGAAACCGGAGGACTGGAATTGCGTTTGCGCAACCGACAAGATCTGCTGGGGCCATCAACTGTTGATTGTTCTGGATCGTTTGAGAACCCCTGAGTTTGCCTAGGTCCCCCAGTAGTGCCCTTTTACCCGTTTTTGGGGGAGGGTTCCCCTACTAAAACCGACAAAACCGAAAAAATAAGTTGGTACCAACTTCTTCAGTTGAGACCGATTTTGCCCCATCAACTAAAGGTGAGAAGGTTTCTTTTACCTTGGGGGATCCCAGTCCGGTCCCATAGCTTCTTAGCTTTCTAGTCTTTAGTGGTCGGTTTTTTCCATTTCGCCCACTAAAAGTGAGTCCATTCTTCTCGCGGATCTGAAAAATTGGACAGCTCAGTGAAGCCACGCGAAAAGCCGCAGGGCCGATGAGGAGGCAGCCTCGGAGATTGAGAAGCCGGGAGCTCACGCCCAAAGGCTTGGATGTGATACAAAAGCTCCGTTTTTGCCATGGGAGGACCAACTTTAGCAGGGGGCATTTTGCTTTCTTTTGTTTGAGCCACTGCCAAATGGGAAGATACTCCTTCTGACTGGGGGCTAGTAGATTTTTGTAAGAGGTTTTAGTGGGGGGCCATGTTGGGTAGTCGTTTTTCTACAGGGTCCTTTTTGCACTTCCATGTTAGCTGGTGGGAGGGTACATTCTTTTGGAGCCACTGCCAAATGGGAAGATCCTCCGACTGGGGGCTAATAGACTTGTAAGAGGCCATCTCCAGGAAGTTCAGGAAGTTCGCCCAGCTGTTTGGTTCTTTTGTGGGTAATGTTGACCCCAGATTCATCAACCAACCAGCGGGTTGCCGGTAGAGACCCAGTTCATGAATAGGGGTTATTCTGGGTTTAGGGAGGAATCACCGAGGGGAACCCCCCGTATTGATACACAGGGGTGGATAAATATGGGGTCAACCTTATTCGTGTGTGTTGATTTTTCCCAGAGGGAAACCACGACTGAAAATATGGCTGTTTTTCTAGGTGATGGAAGCCATTGGTTGGAAAACCACCAAGATGATATGTCGACCACATGGGAAAGTTGTTAACCATAGTCAAGAAACTGGGGGCCGAATTTAATCAACCCCAATTTGCTATGATGAATATGTGATGTGTTATTTTCCTCTGTGCGTGCTTAAAGGGAACCTATCATCACTACTAGAAATAGTTTTATTTTTCCCAGGGACTTAAGCAAATGAACATTTGTCTCTCGGATTCCAGTTGAGATCAACCGATTTCTGCCCATGGAAGCTTAATCAAGGAAGATCCACAAGCTCTCGTGAACTTCTTGCAGCCTTCTCGCTGCTTGTCATCACTCAGGGGTTCCGGTTCCCTTGATTATTCTGGGAGCCATCTGAGGACAGCTCAGTATTGAAGCACTTAGGATTCTGATTCGCGCACCTCAAGAAATGTGCCAGATCCTTGTTTACCACAGCTACCTGCAACGCTTGGGAACTCTGAATATTTCTAGGGGTAACTCCCCCATTCTTTCCAGGGATCCTTCTTTCTAGCAAACCACCAAAAATTGTTGGGAAATTGCTGGTTTTTGAAAGGAACGATGGCTGCAAAGAACGGGGAATCAATTTGTGGAATATTGGGATAAACCACCTACCAACGGATGCGAAGTTTTTCGGTCAGTCGGTATACCTCAGCCGGACTTGTCGCATCCCAGGCAACACAGCGAGCTTGCAGAGGACGCTAGAAGAGATCGGGCTTTTGGGCTTGAAACAGATGCAGATTAATCCCTTTGCATGGTTGCTGTTTGGAAACATTTTACATTTTTGCTTACTGTGGTTGAGTGAGAAATCCCCACTTAACTGCACGTCAACCAAGTTTGGGAGTCCATTGTTGTTGGAAAGGTGTTGGACAAGTTGGCCCACGGAAATCTCCGTGACAACACTTCCGCACGGAAAGGGGGGGCCATGTTACACACAAAAGGGAAAGTGAAACCCAACAGTGCAAGCGGAGGTTGCTGCGAGGCTTGGGGCGAATCTCTACGAAGTCTCACTGAGTTGCTGGACTCGAAATACTTGAGGCCGTCCAATCAATGAGTTTCGGTCTTTGCTGTTCCCTGCACAAGTTGATTTGAGCCACAATCAAAACCCCGGTAGATAAAGGTTAGTAAGGGACGTGACCAGCCAGAAATAGCTGCGGCCGCCTTCTTAGTTCTTTACATGGTTCTGGGTCAACCATTTTTATACCAGGTTTTGATGTTGACTCATTTGGAGCCATGGTTTGCACTTGGCATTGCCCATAGTTGCCCAATGGCATCCGATTCCAACTTTGGATTCGCATCCATCTCCACGAGTCGTGTTCCTTTGTCCCAAGAGCAAAATCCAGTGTCCTGGCTGACATGAAATACATGGTAATTATAGTCATGGCAGACCTGCCGCAGGTTAGAGATGTACCCGAATCTGTCAAAATATCGTGTCAAGTTGCGGAACAAAAGCCGCAGTTATTGTCTTTTGGTGCGAGCAAGCCCGCACGACCAAGACAAGCAACCAAACACCCAGCAGTTCATTCAAGCAATGCTTCAGCTCGTTTTGTTTGGCCACGGTCTTTGGTTCTCGGGCTGCCCCGGGTCAGCAATACTTGTGATCGACCAGTGAGAAAGGTGTGCCGCTTTTTCCGGCCTCGAAATGTGCGACTAGACGGTCTCTTCTAGCCCAACACATGTTCAATGCTGACTCCACTTCTTGCACTCTGTATGCACCGGGGTATCCACTGGTCTGGGATCTCGACTCATAAATTTGCATACCAGACAAACATTTTAAAGGTCCGATTCTCTATGTACTGTGGCCCAAGCGGGGGCTGGGGCTGCAGGGTGAAAAACGGTGCAGGGCTTGTTTTCTTGAAGATCCGAGGGTCAAAAACCCGCGCCCCAACCGCAGCAGGAGCACCGCGCGCTGCGGCAGGAGGTCGCAAGACAGGAGTTTGGGAGGGAGTTTGGAAGTCGGGGCTTATTTGGGGCTTATTTGGGCTCCCTCCCCCTCCCCTCCCTCCCCCCCAGCCCCCATGAGGACATGGGCTCTCTCGGCTCCGCCCTACCCAGGCCCCGGTTGTTGATGCCTCATATGCTGGGAGTCAAAGCTTCATCCGATGGAGGAGGAGGAGCTGGAGCAGCTGCGGGAAGAGGCCAAGGTCAGCGAAACCAGCCGGGAAGCGGTAGCTTCCATTTGCTTAAGAATATGTTTGCTTTTCCCACGTCAGGGGTGAATAACTTGTCTTCCATTTGCTTATACTGGAAATATATATTTTTTTTTCCAGGGGGCGGAAGCAAATGGCAGTTAGGGCGCAGCTGGAAAGGGGGAGCCTCCTATGTCGAGTGATGCTCAACAGGTTTTCAGGAGATGCGAGGGAAGAACCTCTGCAAATCCGACTGCCACAGGGAGCCCACACGAGCGCGCGTGACAACATCCGGTCCCTTTAGGGACCTCTCAAATGCTGCCCCTGCCCGCGAAATCCAGCAGTCCTTGCCGAGTGAATGAGTGAGTGAGTGAGTGAGTGAGTGAGTGAGTGAGTGAGTGAGTGAGTGAGTGAGTGAGTGAGTGAGTGAGTGAGTGAGTGAGTGAGTGACTGACTGAGTGAGGGAGGGAGGGAGGGAGGGAGGGAGGGAGGGAGGGAGGGAGGAGTGGGCGGGTGGGTGAGTGGGTGAGTGGGTGAGTGGGTGAGTAGGTGAGTGGGTGAGTAGGTGAGTAAGTGAGTATGTGAGAATGAGCAAGAGAAAGAGAAAGCGAAAGCGAGAGAGAGAGAGAGAAAAAAAAAAATGGATAAAGAGAGCAAGAGAAAGAGAGGAGGAGAGAGAGAGAAAGAGAAAGAAAACGAGATAAAGAAATAAAGAGAGAAACAAAAACACACAGAGAAAGAGAGAAAGGGACAGAGGAAGAGAGAAAAGAGAAAGAGAGAAAGAGAAAAAGAGAGAAAGAGAGAAAGAGAGAAAGAGAGAAAGAGAGAAAGAGAGAAAGAGAAGAAGAAAAAGAAGAAGATACAAGGTGAGGAAAAAGACAGACAGAAAAAGAGAGACAGAGAGAGAGACAGAAAAAGAGAAATAATGATAATAAGAAAGAGAAAGAGGGAAAGAAAGAAAGAAAGAAAGAAAGAAAGAAAGAGAGAGAAAGAGGGAAAGTGGACGAGAAAGAGAGAACGATATAGAGAAGAGAGAACGAGAGAAGGAGAGAAAGAGATAAAGGGATAAAGAGAGAAAGAGAAGAATAAAGACAAAGACAGACAGCGAAACAGAGAGCGAGATAGAGAGAGATAAAAGTAAAAGAGAAAGAGAAAGACACAAAAAGAGAAGGACAGATAGAGATAAATAGAGAAAGAGAGAAAGCGAAGGAGAACAAGAGAAACAGATAAAGATAAAGACAGACAGACAAAGAGAGAGAGAGAGAGAGGCAGAGAAAGATAAAGATAAAGAGAGAGAGAGAGAGAGAGAGAGAGAAAGAGAGAGAGAGAGAGAGAGGGAGAGAAAGAGAGAAGAGACAAAGATAAAGATAAAGATAAGTTAAAAAAAAAGAAGATATAGAGCAAAAGACAAAAATATAGAGAGCAAGATAAAGAGAGACATATCAAGAGAAAGACACAGAGAGAAAGAGATAAACATAAAGAGAAAGACAGAAAGTGAGAGAGAGAGAGGGACTGATACAGAGAGAAAGAGCAGGATAAAGAGACAGAGATCTATATTTTGTTCGTATGTTGTGGAAAGAGGAGTAAAGGAAAATAAAGGAATGGATAATACAACTACTTTCTGTCTTGTATGTCATGCTCCTCGCTCTCTTTGTTCTCGGGTAAACAGATGGACAAACATATTGTGACAATAAGATATTTCACAGACAAAATGACAAACAATAAATCATTGAACATATACACGTATACGCTGGTTTTGCCTATATTACGTAATGCATGCACAAGCTAAAACATATAATCAGAAAAGTTGTGAAATCAGTTTTCCTTGTTTGGAGTCACCTTCGGAATCCCCGATACGTCATTATCAGTCCTTATAAGAATAGAACTATATTCATCGGGAGATAGGATTATATCTCCAGAAAACAATAGCCTCACGAATATAAGGATTACAGTGAATGGCTGTCTTCTATTATTTTTTTAGTACTGCTCGTTCGTTGGAGGATCTGGAAATTATGTTGTACCCATCTTTCACGGATTTTCAGAAGTGGTATATCCTGAGATCAGTAACCCACAGAGCCCTCGTGCACTCATAAACAGAGGGGTATGGTAACATCATTCCCGGCGCGAAGACGCAAGTCCAGCTTAGGGCGGTAAGATCAAGTTTGAGAGGCTCCATTTTCCGAGCGAGCTTTGCCCCACGGCGTGCCAGGCACGCAGTGGCCAGGGCCGTGACTGGGCTCGCGACGGTCCCGAGAAGGACGGGCGGAAATGGCCAAGAAGGCCGAGATTCATATCACAAAGTGTCCACAAGAGTCTCTTAAAGCGCCGTCCGTCGCGCCCCTTAAGTGTTGTGGCTAGGGCAACGAACCGTTCAGGTTAGCATCCCGTCCATTGAGCATGCGAACAAGGCCGCTGGCAGGCGGCCTGCGCAAATGGAACACGAACGCCGTCTTTGACTAGGTCCCCCCAGCTAGGTGCCCTTTTACCGTCACTTTTTTGGGGGAGGGTTCCTCAACTAAAATAGACAACAGAAAAAGGGTACTCTTATTCTAACCTCTCTACTGGAGGACGTAGATCTTATTCCAACATGAAACACGGAGTGCTGCAAGAACGAAATGCTGAGAATGCTTAGATGGGAGGGCAGAGGGTGCGAAAGGCCACGCGGAACCTGTGTGTTCCTTTCATATACCACTAGTGGGGCATTGTTTGCCTTCCTTTATCGCATGCAGGTTTTATTTTATCACCAGGTACTCGGGCAAGGAGCACTCTTCGCTGCTTCCCGGTAAGGAAGGACGGAATGACGGCAACCCCGTTTCCTTCCTTCGGCTTGCATTTCAACAAAAGGTCCCCCAGTAGTGCCCATAGACCAAAAAACAAGTTGGTACCAACTTTTTCTATCCTCTCCGCTGGAGGACCTAGAACACCAAACGCGGGCTGTCCTACATGCCTAACTCGGGAGGAGTTCCTTGTCGCACGCAGGACGCCCTGGTGGAGACCAAGCTACGGATCGCCCAGGCCTCCGCCGCGTCGGGGTTTCGGAACTTGTCCGTGCCACACGTTTAGACTTGCAGATCGGAGCTCAGAAAGGCCTGCATCACACGGCCCACTTCAGACATATGTTTAATTGTCCGGACATTCATAGATCTACTTGTTTTTATTGTTCGGACATTCACAGAAGTTTGGCTGATTGCTCATCATAAGTTTATGATGTCTCCTGAAGTCTTGGCAAAGGGTCATGGAACTACTCTGGATGGACAACATCCTGAACCGGAATTAGCTGGTTGCCAGCCAGTATTCAGCTCGAACTTGCTCCATCTCGGCCGGTGCGAGGCGTATCTCGTCCGTCAGTAGGTGCTGTTGGTAAGACTTCGGAGCGAGCGGAAGCTTGGACCATGTGGCCATGGTTCCAGACCTGTGCCCGTCCTGCCCAATCTTGTGAACGAGCGCGCAACAGAGATTCCAAAAGGGCCATTTTGGCAGGTTCTCTCAGTTGCCCCAAGCCGAAACCGCTTGGCTTCCCTGATTTGATTGTTTGCTTAGTCATGGCCCCAACTTTTGAGAAGTTTTTGCCGAAGGTTTGCGGGCGTTTACGTGGTTAAGCCTTGGAATCTGACAGTTTGGGCAGGGGCCTCGCCAGTTTCGCCTTTCAGATTGTTTCTTCTTTTTGTCCAAAGTTCTGCAGCGCGACGGTGGGGCAAGCGCCTGTGTGTTTGTGATTCTGCAGGCGCCTTGGGCGAAATGGAAGACCTTCCATGAATTTGAAAAACCAGAACGGACCTGGAAAAGTTCGAAATGTCACGGAGCGCGTTTGGGGGGAGCCCAACAATATATTTAAGCCTCCAGCCCCCTGACGGCTTCGTCGGCCCCGTTTAGCTTGGAACTGTTTGGAAACCGCAGCCTGTCCTTAAGGGGCAACTGAGTTCTGCCTGGTTCAAGGGTGAAGCCTTTAAACCTGAGCCACAGAACCAGTCCTTTGGGTCCCAGCGCTTTCGCCCACGTCGAATGCGGGCAGAGTTGATGCTCAGAAAAGATCCCATATCTTGATTCGGATTCGGAAGGGGTACGAGAATGGGCAAATGTCTGGAGACCTCGGCGTACATGATGCCATGTTTCTCAGGACAGAAGCTTCAGAATCCGAAGACCAGCTCTTGTTTATCCGTTTTCTTCGTTTTTTCTCCCCCGAGGTTCACCAACACGTAGTTTAGACGTGTTGTTTGTTGTCGGGGTGTCAATGAGCCGGGCAGACACCTTGGTCGAGAGGTCATCAAGGTCAGAGTCTGCCACGGAGCGGGTATGTGTTTGCATGGGAATGCACACAAGTTCACATTGCTGCTTGGCTGTTTGTTTGGTTACGCCCTTGGCGTTGGCGATACTTCGGCATGCCAACTAAAAGGCGGCCAGATGAAAGCATCAAGGAGAGCCAACATCTCACAACACTTGAAGAGTAGACGAATCAGGGCATGTGATTTTAAGAAGCGGTGACGACTTTTAAATATGTGGGGGCCGGGCCTGGGCTTCAGGGCTGGGAGGTAGTGTAGGACATCTGTTTAAATCGGATATTTAAAGTGGCTGGCCGGGCCACCCTCATGGGCCCTGGAGGTAGTATGAAATACCAATTAGGATATTTAAATGGCAACGCCGAGACAGACCCCTTCCCCGTAAAAACAGGGCGTAACACAATTCAAGCCCTTGCTAGCAGCTGCCTTGCGCTAGCTCCTGCCAAGCCAGGTCAGATTGCACAGGTCCAACCTAAGGCGATGCTTGCGTAACTCCATGCTTCATAAACGCCTGGAATTGCGGAGCTACGTGCGCTGAATTGAGCTGCCCAAGCCCTGTGTACGTGGCTCGTGGAGACAGAAAGCAAGAAGAACATGAATGCCCCTTTTCTCGGACGGGACTCCCAGATTTCCTTGAATTCTTGAAACTCCTGGCGTGTTGGGATGGGAGCTGCTTTTAAACAAATCTCAGAATGAAAAGAATTGGAAGGGAGAGAGAGAGAGAGAGAGAGAGAGAGAGAGAGAAAATGCCTGGATCTGGCATTGGGCCCTGTGTCAGACCTGTTTCAGACCTGTTTCAGACCCCTGCAAAAGCACCGTCTCAAATTCGCAAAACCCTGCCCCGAATCCCCAGCACCAGTATAGCGGTGCAGCGGCTCGCGGGCCGTGGAGGTAGTATGAAACACCAATTGGGACATGGTGCAACACTGATGCCTGCAATTGCAGAACAATGCTTTCGTAATTCCATGCTACATGAACGCCTGGAATTGCGGAGCTAAGTGCGCTGAATTGAGCTGCCTAAGCCCTGTCTACGTGGCGTGGAGAAAGAAAGCAAGAAGGAATCCCACAGAATGAAAAGAATTGGAAGAGAAGAAAGAGAAGCAAGAGAGAGAGAGAGAGAGAGAGAGAGAGAGAGAGAGAGAGGGAGAGAGAGAGAGAGAGAGATAATGCATGTGGCATTGGGCCCTGCGTCAGACCTGTTTCAGACCTGTTTCAGACCTGTTTCAGACCTGTTTCAGACCCCTGCAAAAGGACCGCAAAAGGACCATCTCCTATTCGCAAAACCCTGCCCCGAATCCGTACCACACGCGCTGGCCCTTGCCAAGCCACACAGGTCCAACCTAAGGCGCCATGTCGGAGCAACACTTCTGCTTCTTATTGCAGACCAACGCTTTCGTAATTCCATGCAACATAAACGCCTGGAATTGCGGAGCTAAGTGCGCTGAATTGAGCTGCCTAAGCCTTGTCTACATGGCTCGTGGAGAAAGAATGCGAGAAAGACCTGAATGCCCCTTTTCTCGGACGGGGCACACACATTGCCTTAAATTCGTGAATCTCCTGGTTTCTTGGGATGGGGCCTGCAGTTAACAAATCCCAGAACAACCGACTGGCTGCGGAAGATGTTATTGGCAACAAACAGCAAGCAAATTGACAAGGCGGGCCGGGCCAGAGGCAGGATTTCAAGACGTAACGCGAAATACCTACCTAAATCGGGTATTTAAGTTGGTCGGCCGGGCTGGCGGTTTCGCAGGCGGAGGTAGTGTAAAATCTTTGTTGACCTATTTAAGTGTCCGGGTGTTTAAGTGGCGACACCGTAAGCCTTGGAATCTGACAGTTTGGGCAGGGGCCTCGCCAGTTTGGCCTTTCAGATTGTTTCTTCTTTTTGTCCAAAGTTCTGCAGCGCGACGGTGGGGCAAGCGCCTGTGTGTTTGTGATTCTGCAGGCGCCTTGGGCGAAATGGAAGACCTTCCATGAATTTGAAAAACCAGAGCGGACCTGGAAAAGTTCGAAATGTCACGGAGCGCGTTTGGGGGGAGCCCAACAATATATTTAAGCCTCCAACCCCCTGACGGCTTCGTCGGCCCCGTTTAGCTTGGAACTGTTTGGAAACCGCAGCCTGTCCTTAAGGGGCAACTGAGCTCGGCCTGGTTCAAGGGTGAAGCCTTTAAACCTGAGCCACAGAACCAGTCCTTTTTGTCCCGGCGCTTTCGCCCACGTCGAATGCGGGCAGAGTTGATGCTCAGAAAAGATCCCATATCTTGATTCGGATTCGGAAGGGGTACGAGAATGGGCAAATGTCTGGAGACCTCGGCGTACATGATGCCATGTTTCTCAGGACAGAAGCTTCAGAATCCGAAGACCAGCTCTTGTTTACCCATGCAAACACATACCCGCTCCGTAGCAGACTCTGACCTTGATGACCTCTCGACCAAGGTGTCTGCCCGGCTCATTGACACCCCGACAACAAACAACACGTCTAAACTACGTGTTGGTGAACCTCGGGGGAGAAAAAACGAAGAAAACGGAAATGCACACAAGTTCACATTGCTGCTTGGCTGTTTGTTTGGTTACGCCCTTGGCGTTGGCGATACTTCGGCATGCCAACTCAAAGGCGGCCAGATGAAAGCATGAAGGAGAGCCAACATCTCACAACACTTGAAGAGTAGACGAATCAGGGCATGTGATTTTAAGAAGCGGGCCAGTCTTACTTGGAGGGTGCTCAGCCGTCATTGTCAAGCCGGGACGGAACACGCGCACACTGCCATGGCATTGCCGCTAAGTTCCGTTCTTGTTGAAGTGAAGTTGCCTCGAGCCGCAAGTTCACTTGTTCCGTCCTCTTGCGAAGCTTGGTGGCCGATGACGAAGATGGCGACCATCATGATGATGATGATGATGATGATGATGAGGATGAGGATGATGGATGATGATGGATGATGATGGATGATGGATGATGGATGATGGATGATGGATGATGGATGATGACGATGATGATGATGATGATGATGATAATAATGATGATGATGATCATGATGATGATCATGATGAGGATGATGAGGATGATGATGATGATGAGGATGATCATGATGATCATGATGATCATGATGATCATGATGATCATGATGATCATGATGATCATGATGATGATGGTGATGATGGTGATGATGGTGATGGTGATGTTACGGTGATCGTGAAGACCTGACGATGACGATGATGAAGATGGTTTGTTGACTGCATCGTTGGATACACATGCTCTTCACAGGGCATATGTTCAATCTGGGAAGTTGTGCTCGATCCGGATCCGGCGGGCGCTGAACCCTCAGATGTTGAACTTTGACACAAGAGATCGTGCAGATAAACCATGAAGCAATGAAGCTTTAGTGTTTAGTGGGGTTTTCCATTTAGCCCACTAAAAGTTAAACTTTTAGTGGCTAAGTCTGTAGACACTGCAACCGTGGGCAGCTCATGTGGCCGGTCGTCAAATTGTTGGCGCCCAGTTTGGCGGCGTGAATCTCCATGCCAAACAGCGGATAAACTACATGCGCTTTCCTCCTGTCGGGGGCAAAGGGAATCAACGGCCTGTGGATACCCCCAGTTGTGGGTAGGTTAGGGAAGCAATGTCTGAAACCTTGGCGGAAAGGATGCAAAGAACCAAAGCGAGGATTGCAAATCTAACACACCCCTCCCCCCTCCCTTACCCCGCTCACCGCTCGTCGAGAGTTTCTTCAGGCTCACGACGAGTTGGCGCAGCTGCGGCAGCAGTTGTGGCATCTCCGGCGGGTTACAAATCCTGGCAAAGGCCTGATTTCGAAACTGTCTCAGCCACAACCAGGCGTGGCCCAAGGCGCAAAGAATGAAACTCTTGGGGCGTGGGGGCTCGAATCTTGAAGGAAACGCAGACATAGGTTTGGTAGCTCGGTCAAGAGCCGTTGCTCAGCCGTGGATGGACGGAATCCTGCATTTGGAATGGATGAAAGCCTACAGACATAAAGAACCTGGCCAGGTACTTGCATCCAATGTTCACCGTGTCCCAAAAGGAGCCCAAAACTGGGGGACGCCTGAAATATATGTTCAACATGGCTTGCTTGCCTCACCCCAGGGAGGTGTAAAGGCTAGATATCACTGGGGTATAAGAAAGCCGTGCAAAAACTTACACGGGTTTGATTTTACACTCAACACCTCCAAACCCCATAGACTTAACGGTGCTGATTCGTGGCCACTCATATAGACGTTTACATCATACATGGACAACTGCCGCTCAGGAATCGCATGCCGGCATCAGACCCCGGTGCGCGGTAAATTGCAGAGTGCCCATGATTCGACTAGCTTACTATGTCTCATGTTGAATTAAAAAAACAAAAGAAAACTAAAAAAAACTGCCGGATTCGTCTGTGGTCTTCAAAAAGGATCCGATTGGGACATGAGAGGGCTCATTTTGAAGGTGGCTCGCATATGGCCGGGGCGATTGAAAAAGTTTAGGGCTCGGCCGGCACCTTTTCACCTTGCTCATTGCCAGACTCCGCTAAACGGTAACTATTTGCCTTTTTGGGTTTCTTCACCATTGTTGGCAGATTGTGCGTTTATGTGTTTTTTCATTTTAGTGGGCTACCAAAAGCCAAGTTTTGTGCTATTAGACCAAGGGTTGCCCGTTTTTCGCCCCGTTAAAGCCCCCCTTGCCTGAGGTCCACTTTCGCCCAAAAGCCGCGGTGCCGTGATTTCAAAGGGGAAACCGCCAGGTTGAACCGCGAAGGGCTCAAGAAGAAGCTCGCGGATCTGCAGGAGGGGTCCGAAAGGACTCGTCCAAGGGCTTCAGTGGCCCCGATTCTTTGTCCAACCTTTTTTTTTGGCGGCTGCCCCACTAAAAAGGTTTCCCAAGCCACAAAAAAGGGTTCCAATTCTTTTTTTTCCAGGGTCACCGGGGTCACCGAACAATTGAGAGGAAGTCAAAGGGGAAGCAGGCCCCCGAAGAACGGCTCTTTTTCTTTTTGGCGAAGGCTTCCAGCCATCCGGTTCAATCATGCTTCTTAGCTTTGTAGTGTTTGGCGGATTTTCCCATTTAGCCACGAAAGTCAAACTTTTGGCGGGGGATCTAAGGACAGCTCAGTCCTTGAATTGGTTGGAAAGGGGAAAAAAGCTGGTAGAGGTGCCGGAGGGAAGCCAATGTCTGTTTTGAGATTTGCTGGCTCAAGTTGGCGACTTCAGACATCAAAGGCTCAATTGATATGTTGCGCACAGTGGTTGTTTGAAGCTGCTAGATGCTGAATTCTATTGCCCGCCTTGAATTGCGCGACCAACGAGTTCAACCTTGGCCAGCAACAGTTCTAGTGGGTGACGCGACAGCGAAGCAAACAAAACAGTGGACACTTACGTGCGGTTGACCCTGATCGATGTACACCGTGGCTGGTGCTAAGTGCACCGCGCAAATTCTCAAGTAAATGTCGTATCACAGTAAGGGCTGGTAGTGTTTGGCACGAGCTTGAGCAGTAGAAGCACTAGACCCCAGCCATTGCGACTCCACTGCCTTGAAAGAGGAAGTCGACAATCCAACTGGCTGTGCTATGTCAAAGGGAGCCACCTCAAAAGTTGTTCAACAGACATGACTCCCGACCGACTTCTGTCCACCGTTTCGGGTATGTAACTTAAATCAGCAGATCTACCCATTCTAGCTGTACTTCAAGGATTCTCAGTGTTGCAGCAAGTCCCGCGTTCAGGCAAAAGGTCAGCCTGAGAAGAGAAAAACAAAAAAACTAGCCCAAAGTGCATGGGGAGTTCAGAACACTGCGCAAATTGAGTAGTCTCCCGGTCTCCCTGTGGTTTCCTTGAAAAGCCAAAACATCCCTTTCCTGGGTGCAAGCCAGCACAAACTCTTTGATTGGGAAGTTCACCTATGAACAGGCGTGCCACAAATCAAGCAGGATCTAGGAATGTTTCTGTCTGACTGTGTGCTTGTGCGTGTTCTTGTGGCTGCGCGTGTGCGTGTGCGTGTATGCGCGTGCGCACAAACCCACAAACTCACACACCCGCGAACCCGCAATTACTCACGCACAGACGCAAAAACAAAAACACACAAACACACAAACAAAGAGAACAAGAATAGACACGCAAACACACACACGCACACGCACACGCACACTCACACACACACACACACACACACACACACACACACACACACACACACACACACACACACACACACACGCCCACACACACACACACACAAACACACGCACACGCACACGCGCACGCACACGCGCACGCACACGCGCACGAGCACGCGCACGCGCACACACACACACACACGAACACATTCTTGGTTTACGGGAAACACTTGCATGGCATGATTATGCCGAATTGGGTTGCCAACATGGTCTGATGTTCCCCCAAAATGGGCACAGAAAATATATACCAGTTACCTTTTGCTAGTATACCACTTCCATGGGTCTGAGTTTAAACGCTGGAAAACGATAGGGGACTCTCAAACTAAGTAGCGAAACGGCCGCAAGTAAGTAATTTCGACCGTGCCTCATGTGTGTGTTTTGTGTGTTGTTGTGTTTGTGCGTTTGTGCGTTTGTGTTTTGGTGTGCTGGTGTGTTGGTGTGGTGGCGTGTTGGTGTGTTGTTGTGTTTTTGCGTTGTTGTGTTTGTTACTTGTGTGTTGGTGTGTGTGTGTGTGTTGCTCACGTTGTGTGTGTGTTGTGTGAGTTGCGTGTGTTTGCGTGAATTGGTGTTGCGTGTGCCGTGGGTTGCACACACTTGTTTGTTGCCGGTGTGTGTTGTGTGCGTGCTTTATGCGCGCAGTTTGTGTGTGTGTGTGTGTGTGTGTTGCGTGGCGTGTGGGTGTGGGTGTGGGTGTGTGGTGTGTGTTTCGTGTGTCGCCAAAAACCCGCCCAAAACCACCCGCCGCATCAGGCGGAGAACATGCGCCTGAAAACCGGCAAGTCCCCGCTGCACTGAGAAAAAGGGGCTTGCAAGACGCGGCGTTGAGGATGTGCAACCAGATGTCCCATGGCGGTTTGAATCAAGTATGGGGAGCCCAGCAAGCATAGGTTGTTTAGGTCCCCCAGTAGTGCCCTTTTACCCTTTTTTGGGGGAGGGTTCCCCTACTAAAATAGACTACAGAAAAAGGGTACCCTTATTCTAACCTCTCTACTGGAGGACCTGGTCGTTGCCAGATTTTGGCATTTGCCTTTTTTGATTTCCATCCCCTCCCTTTCAACTGCAAATGTAAGTTTTTTGCAGGGGTCTACGTTTGGCCCAATTTTCGAGGTGCCCTGAAGCAGGGACAAGTCGGCGTTCGACGAGGACAATCCAAAAAAAAAACACATGTTTTTTCCTCTGTTTTCCCAATGCTGGTCCATATTTAGTGGCCCCGAAAGGTGATCACCTTTCAGTTCTGGTCCACACGGCAACTGAGCTTGACAGGACCCTCTTAAAATGGGCGCGCTTCGGCCTGCGCCTGGCTGCTTGTGTCTTGGATCTTTGATTTGTTTGGTTGAAAATGGCCGTATGCCCCACAAGGCTGTCAAAAGTTGTCATAGCCATCAAGCTATGTGTTCAGAAGTCACCTTTTCCCTTTGCATTCAAGGCAAGACCCAGGAATGAACAACCTCGCGGCGGACTAGCTTGTACTACTATGGTTCTTGGGTTGGGAGCAAGCTGACAACAAAGTACCAGAATGCTTCCATTGAAACAACATCAGCGAGACGACGACCAAGAAACCAGGTAGAAATGAATGTGAACGTTGGCATCATGAAGCCTAGGATCATCTTCCATGTCACGGGGGTGTCGGTTGCGCCCATTCGACCAGGCCGTGTCTGGCGTGGCACTCTTCGTAGATGAGAAGGTCGCTAAGGCGCTGAACAGTGTGCTACCTGCTTGAGTAGGTGACATGCTCAAAATGGTCCACTCCCCAAATGGTTTCAACGGAAGCCGCCCCCAGAACCATTTGGAGGAATCCTCAAACCCTCAAAACGTTCACTTCAAGGGGCCCGGTTTGGTTGGATTAAACCGGACTTTGGTCTCCAAGTGTGTGGAAGCCTCCCTGCATCAGCCACATGTGTGTCCCAGACAAAGGGGTTCAAGTCCCCAGTTTTCGCCCCCAAATGAAAAGAAATCGCTTTTGGGGGCCCTTGTTTTTATACGCCTTCCACCAAGCTCCGGGCTTTCAGCTAGAAAGCCCCAAGGATCAGATCACGAGGGTGGATTGGTTTGGTTTTCTTGGGTTTCTCCGTTCCGGAGCCGTTGCTGTTGCCCTTGTGCCAGTTTCGGAGCAAGACTTTTCAGGGCCCAAGATTCGACCCTTGTTTTCAGATCGGGTCTTTGCATGAGTTTTTGCCTTTTGTGGGTGCCCTTAAGGTGGAAACAGGGTAAACATCATGTGAGCCACAATCAAAACCTGGGTAGATGAAGGTTAGTAAGGGACAATCCCAGCCATAAATAGTTGCGGCCGCCTTTCTAATTCTTTACATGGTTCTGGGTTCACCATTTTTGTACCAGGTTTTGATTGTGACTCATGTTTCGAGTCGTCAAGTCTACCCGGTCCCTTGCATTGCTTTGGTTTGGAGACCCCCGAGACCTAGAGCTGACCGGCCGTCTGGCCAGGCCTGTGGATTGTTGTGAAACCCATCCAACGCACCCACCGAAATCAGAGAAACGCGGGGCCCTGCAACCAAGAAACACTGGCTTCCCATGGTTTCGTTTCGGGAGTGCAAGATTTTTTGTCCCTGCATGGACTCTTCTTGCTGGTGCGATAGGCAGGAAATGAGGAAAATGACATAAATTTAGGGATCCCCTCAAAGGAAACCACCGGCCGGACGGTTTAAATCGGGGTCATTCCAGGGCTGCGCTTGTTTAGTTGGGCTTAAGGCAAGCCTGAGTTGGCGGCTTGGATTGGTTTGGGATTTTGGGATTTGGCTCCCCGTAGATAAAGGGGAAACCGCCCCTAAGCACCAACCCACCAAGTGGGAAGCTGCTCATTCCCTGAGCACCAGCCACTTTTTTTTCGGGGACCTGGATGAACCCCACTTCCTACGCCAATAGGAGCGAGCCGCTCTGGCCACAGCGCTGGAGCGAGCCAGGAGCCCAGGTCCTTGTATGGCGCAAAAACGCGCAGAGTGCGGTGCTAGATGTGGCCTAGGTCCCCCAGTCGTGCCCTTTTACCTTTTTCTTGGGGAGGGTTTTCGTTACTAAAATATATATAGAAAAGAAAAAGGGTACCCTTATCCCAATCTCTGCCTTGAAGCATGCCTGATGGTACCGAGCCAATCTTTAACAAACCCAGAAGTTCACCAGAAAAAGTGGAGGTCTTTGCTTTTGAGCAAATTCCCAAACCTGGGTCAAAGGGTCAGAGCCGAGAGCCAGTGTTTTGGTGTTCTTGGCGGGGAGAGATGTCGTGGTCGAACGTTGCCAACATGGCTGAGTGCTTTATTATGATTATTCTTTTGTGGACCCCCCAGAATGAAGGCATTTTATTCTTGGTTCCAGATGTTGGCGTCCTGAACGCCACCAAAAAGAAGACCAGAACTTCCCAGAATGCCCGCATGCCCAAAATTCCGAGGCGGCTCCTCCAGGCCATGGGCGAGTGGGGTGTGCCCAGGGTTCCCTATATCTGGCGGTCCAAAACCAATGGCACCCTATCCGGGATAGGGGCACCACCCGTTTTTTAGAGCCATTTTTTTGCTACGGGGGTTTGACCCATGGCCAGTTCCCTTTTTTGGCGGTTTGAAATTCACCTTTTGGGACCCTTTAAAGTGAGTTTACTTTTGGTGGGTGGTGATGTGTCCAAAGGGAAATCTAGTGAGCCCTGTTTCTCCCCAGTGTGATACAATCCCCTCTTTATATGAGCCACATCCTCAACATCTTGTATGAAGGTTAGTAAGGAGCAGTCCCAGCCGGAAATAGTTGCGGAAATATCCGCCTGGCTAATTCTTGAAGCATGGCCCTGGGTCCATTTGTGCACCGATCGGTCAACTGATTGTGAGACTCAGTTGACTCGCAGTGGGTTCCATTTCCCACAGCTTCGGATGGGTAGGATTCGTGGACCGGGATCCGAGTGGACCAAATAAAGATTGCGCCCACTTTTTTGGTAAGAATATATAAGAATATGGTGTTACTTTTCCCTGCTGGAATCCATCACTAATGGACATATTTTTCTCATCCTTTTCGAGTCGAAGCTTAAGCAAATGGAAGATGGTGCAAAGTTAGATCTGGGATTCGGGGCGCAGAAAAGATAGCATTGGTCTGGGGATGGAGTAGTTGAATACTTTGTGTATCTACTCAGCTTGTTCCCTGAGTTTCTTGTTTTGGGCCTTTTGGTAATTCTGGCAATTGGCGGCCCATGAACCCAAGCACATTCCACCACGCCTGCGATGCGGCACCAGCCCTTACGAGGTGGCTATCGCTGCATTTCGGCGGAGCCTTTCTGGGTGTTCGGCCAAGTTAGCAAGTCGTGAGTAACCTAGGTAACCCACTTACAAGTCCCCTAAGTGGGGTTTTAACCCTGCTATTTGAGGGGGAGAACGGGAGAACTCAAGTAGTTAAGCACCTAACTTGGCCGAACATCCAAGTTGAAGATCCTCTTCGCTTTCCATAAATCCCCGGTTTGCCCGAGTTGCCGTTGGATTCTCGGGTGCTTGGCGCTTTCATTTGTCATCATGGGCTTTTGCGAGCGGCGCAAAACGCCGGACGGTTGATGGGTTCCCAGAAGAAAGTCCCGTTTCAGCTGCCTGGACCCTCAACACTTAAACATGGTTCACCCCCATCATGTTTGTTACAGGGTGTTTTAAGGGTCCAGGTATTCTTGGGTGAAGTCGGTTTGGACGAAACGACGCCCAAGCTGGTCCCCTATCTTCAGGTTCCTTATCCGTTTTCCAATTTTGGGTTTGGTGGCTCCATATGTCGGATTTTGCCCAGCGAGCCTTCTGAGATTTTGTGTGTGTGTGTGTTTGTGAGTTTAGGTGCGAACTGTCGGTTCGGATGTTTGTCCTGCCGACCAACTGTCGGGACCACAGACAGGGTGGCATACCCCCATTTGCATAAGTCAACCAACCCCTGTTGTCCCAAGTAGGGCCCCCTGTTCCGTACATGTGGTTTTCGTTTGGTGGTCTATGAGCAACATGTGTTTAAACATGCGCAGCCACCTACAAAAACAAATACTCAATTCGTGTTAATACTTGTTCAAACAGGGGGTCGGCCCAGCCCTTTCAATTTGACATCAACTATAGCTGTTTTGAGTGTGAGGTAATTGTAGACGCTTCGCGTTGCCTCTGCCAGAATGCTTTTGGCTGGCTTTGGGGTACTGTGTTTTGGTTTGCATTGAAGTGTTGTGTTTGTCTGAGTGACTGAGTCGGCGCCGACATGCGCGAGCTGGTTTTCAAGATAGAGGGTGGTGCATGTTCGCGCGTTTCCACATGGCTTGCTAGAACGGGAGCCGTGGACGGGGGCCAAGCGCAGCCTGAGGACCGAGGATTTCTAGAAAAATGATCTGCTTTTGGGCGGTGTGTTTAGACGAGAGGGGGGCATTTAACAGTTTCTCTAACAGATTTTGACTGGTTTCTAGAAGGGAAAATTTGGCCGGTGTCTACGGGGGAATGTGACCGGTTTCTGGGGGGATATGACTTGCTTCCAGATTTTGAGGGGGATTTGATTTGTCCGGAGTCGGTCTGGGGAATATGACTGGAGATGGCCTGGTTTTGGAGTGGATTTGTTTTAGAGAGGATTTGACTGGCTTTGGGGGCTTTCACGATTTGACCAGAGTTGGGGCAGGCTTCAGACCTCTGAGACGCTAGTTTCATAGCCTCTGTATGAACAACCACATAGTAGGTTGAACATCGAAGCACGTGTTTCTGCAGCGTCCTTGTTCGCGGGGCTCCAAATATGGGCTCCAGGACCTCCGGACGCTTCTTTAGCTGAGGCCTCAGTGTGGCTATGGCTTCGGCTCGGCTCGGCTTCCGGTCTTTGCTAAACCTCCACATATGGGTTTCATGGGATACACGAACATTTGGTCTGGGGTAGACTAAACATAAAGGAGCATCAGCAAAACATTTTGGAGTACCCCAGACGAGGGCCCAAAAACCGATCGTTTCCTGTTGGCCGTCCTAAAGAAATACACACCAATCGCGCTGCTACTTACTCGAGGCGCAAAGGAGACGAATCAACCTGTGGGTCATTGTGTCGGTCCTGTTTCCGGGGGGATGAAAATCAAAAAATGGGATTGTGTCCCTTTAAGGTACCATTTCAACCGGACCCTGGCGACGCCGATCTCAGCCGCCTTCAAAGGGGATACCAAAACTGGCAGATTCATTTGGTGGTGCTCACCCGACAAATAACAAGCAAAGGCTCTCCCGAACGGGGACAAAATCAACTGGCGGCTTCTTCATCCCGCGTTCGCGTTCTTCTGAGGGTATTAGAGCGGCTGGGGAATCAGCATTTTCATTCCCGGCTGGTGAATTCTAACGATGCGCAATTGAACAGTAAGGTAGGCAAAAAGTGGGGAGGGCAAGATGAGGGCTGAGAGGCAAACCAAGTGTCACAAGACGTCCCTGAAACCTGCCTGCGTGAAATGACCATGCACGTGGCGATTTTGTTTGTGTGTTTCTGAGTTCCTTGACTTTCAACTGTTTGGGTAGACATTTTTAGTGGTAAGCACAAAGTTTTGACCTTTTCTGACCAATCCACTCACGAAGTGAGCCAATCGTCCCACCCGCCCCTCTCTCCTTTTCGCGAAGTTTGAAAACCTAGCTATGGTCGTGGCAAAGCTGTGCCTTCGCTGGTGCGACATCTCCCATTGTGCATTTCCCCAAAGAAGCCAACTGTGAGGATGTCACTTTATAATGGGCCCAGCCAGTTGTATCAACTTGGTGCATGTACCTCACACTGGCTTCCTGGAATCTGACAAGGCAAGCTTTGGCAGCGCGCCGCTAGGCGCGGCACTGACTGAACTCCAAGCGGAACCGACTTGGCCAAAATGATTTGGCTGAGGGGCTGAAAAAAGCCCTGAGTGGGGGCTAATCGATCAACCCAATCTTTTATACCCAATTTATACCCAACACAAATCTCCGACCAAGCTCTACCTCGTACAAGTACCCCCAATGAGGTATACCACTGAACAGACGGGACATACGGGGTATGTACTCTATTTTCCCTGGGCGTGGTTTGCAGGTTTCCTGGGTTGTTTGGAAAGGGGACTGAAAGGATGGGACTCTTTAAAAAGGTTGGAGCAAAAGGAACCCAGTTTGGGGGTTCCCCTGTTCCGCAAGTCCTATGGGCAAGTCGAGTTTGGCAATCGCTTGCAATTTCACAATGGACTTTCAGGTTGCCAGGTGCGATTTGAAGGGAATCCCTCAAAGTGAAACCTATTTTTGTTGTTTCCCGCGTAGAAACAGCCCACTGCTGTGGATGGACAAAATCCTGCACAAGTTGGAATGGATGAAACACAATAAATAAATGGCAGGGTAAGTGCGAAGCAGATTTCGTCCATCCAAAGTATCACAGATTTCGGGTGATGTTCCACCATAAAACAGTTGCAGCATGTTCACTAGTGCATATGACTCAAGGGCGCAGTGAAACCCCAAACTCCTTGCAGGAGCTTAGTCTCAAGATTGCTCACAAGAGAAGAGAGCAAGTTCCGAAAAATTGCAGAGCCCTAAAAGTGATGGGTTCCTTTTGGTGTCCACTTTAACTTCTAGATTCTGCCTGGAAATCCTTGATGGACCCCTGTAGGGGCACCTGGACCCTTAAACTACCCCTAAAGCGGTTGAAATCATGCGATGTGCAAGAGGCAGGACTCGGGGTGCTGGCATGCTTCCGGCTTGGGTTTGGATGCGGTGGTTGGGTTTGAGTCGGATTTGGGTTTGGATTCGGGTCTGCGTCTCAGGCAGAATGTTGGTTGGCAACACCCAATTTATCCCCACCCCCTTCAAAATGGAATTGGGGTGACTGGGGCTGGGTGACTGGAATTCCATTGAGGCTTCCGTTTTCCCTTTTGTGGGGACTGAATAGATGGAATTGTGGGACCCACCCCCCACCTTTCTCCTTAGGGGGGAATCCCGATTGTCGAGCTTGAGGGTCCTTGAAGGGTGCACCTTTTCTCCCATACCATGAAACCGTTTTGGTGGATCCCATTTTGGTGGGGATTGGGTGAACTCACCACCCAACTTAGCCTACTTGAGTGGGGATATTTCGGGGGTAGGTGAACTCCCCACCCATTTTAGGCTTCCTATTTGAGTGGTTGGATTGAATCGGACGTTCACTGGGGGTACGGGGTTCTGACCCATGGCCATATAAACCCACGTTGGAGTCTGGGCTTTCTTAGCACCCTTGCAGGTGCCGCGCCGGCGGCGCCCTGAGTCGCCCTTTTGGGGCCGGACCAAACCTTTGGGTAGAACATCGGGGAGTCAGAGGTCCCTTTTCTCTACTGCTGTTGGGATTCCCCTCGTATTTCCTTTTAATCAACAAAAAGTCAAACTTTTTGCTGAGGGATCTACAGCAAACAAGGTTTTCCATGGGTTTTAACCCCCCGCTAAAGAAAGCAGCCCAGCGTTTTGCTGATACTTGCGCAGGAAGAATATGGTAGCCCACATTCCTTCATTCAATGCTTAGCCCAAGGTCTCGTTTAAGATAGAAAAGCTGCGTTGTGCTGGACGGCCAGAATTCCGGAATAATTGTAGTCACAAGGGCTGAACCGATACCCGCCGCACCATTTGTTTTGTCCATGCTTTGAATTTCATCGTCAGGTCCTTTGGTAAAGTAGGTCTCGAATTCAGCGTTCGGCTTTTCCATTGCCAACTGCTTGGTAGCGGAATACGCCTAAGGCTCCACCGGGTCCTCCTCCATTGACACTTGGAGGCGGGTATATCAACTTTCAAGCCGATGTGATGATGTGTGTGTTGCTTTGTGTGTGTGTGTCGTTGAGCTTGCCTCTGTCGGTCTGCTTCATCCCAAAAGATTTGAGACCAACCTGCAGGAGCTGGTGCCAGTCGCTTAGATTTGGAGCAGCTTCTGAGAAGTCGAGTCATTGGTCTATGTGCTGAGCCATTCCGTATGTGGTGGGTGGGCTGCCGGGCTGTGTTGTTCCCCAGATAGCTGAAAGCTATGGGGGTTCTAACTTCTCTTAAAGAAGGGAAAGTGATTTGCGAGATTGACGGCTGGGTGCTAGGGGGCATGCAGTTTGAGTTTGGGGTGCTGGTGTAGGTGCTGCTTGGGCTGCTGTTTGCGCTGCTGGTAGTAGTACGGGTGCTTTTTATTGGGATTGACGGCAGGGTGCTAGGGCATGCAATTAAGGGTGCTGGTGCAGGTGCTGTTTTGGGGCGGTGCGGGCGCACTTTTGCAAGATTGACGGGAGGGTGCTAGGCGAGGTGCTGGTGATGGGTTTTGGGGGCCTGGTGACGGCCAGGTGTGTTTTTGCGAGATTGACGGCAGGGTGCTAGGGGGCATGCAATTTGGGGATTCTTGTGCAGGTGCTACAATATTTTTGGGATGCTGTTTGGGGTGTTGGTTGAGGTGCTCTTCAGGTGCTGGCGTGCAATCGTTGGCACGTGTTTCGCTATTTGGGGTCTATGCTGGTGTATTTTGTTTCTATCACCAAAAATGGTGGCAAGATGCGTCCAGTGCAGGACCAGTAGATCTCAGTTCTGGCTTACTACATGCGGCCCACCATGAGGCAACATATCCTGGCGTCATTAGTCTGTTCAAAGAAGGCTGGTTGGCAACTCTTTGGTGCCTTGGCCATTGAATGCACGCTTCCGACAGGAAGGGAACCAGGCTGAGACTCTCGAATTTGGCGTTCGCCCAGTCGCGAAACAAGCCTAAGGCTCCACCGGGTCCTCCTCCATTGACATTTGGAGGCGGGTATATCATGTTTTTATGGCGATTCAATGTGTGTGTGTGGGTGTGTTTGATTAAATTTGCTTCTGCTAGTCTGCTTTACCCCAATCTAGATTTGGGACCGACAACTGCAGGAGCTGGTGGTGCCAGTCGCTTAGATTTGTGATGCCAGCTCTAGAAGTAATTAAGCAGTTTCTGAGAAGCCGTCGTCAACTGGCTATCGTTCTGATCCATGGTGGGTGGGCTGGCTGCGTGGCTGTGTTGTTACCAACATGGTTGCAAGATGCGTCGAGTGCAGAATGACTAGCTCTCGGTTTTAGTTCACTACATGCTGCCAAACTAGCCCATGCTGCCCATATGAAGATGAGGCAACATATTTTGGCATCACAGGAAGTCTGTTCAAAGGGGCTGGCGACACTTGCTGCCTTGGCTATTGAAAGCACACTTCGGGAACCAGGCTAAGACTCTTGAGTTTAGCGTTCGCCCAGTGGCGAAACAAGCCTAAGGCTCCGCCGGGTCCTCCTCCATTGACATTTGGAGGCGGGTATATACACTTTCAAGCCGACGCGAGATGTCTGAATGTGTGTGTGTGTGTATGTGTTTGCGTGTGTTTTGTGTGTGAAGTTTCATTTGAACGTGTGTGTATGCGTGTGTGATTCATCCCAAGCAAGGTTCGAGTCTGACTGCAGGGGCCATGAACCCCGTGGACGCGTACATAGCTCCTGGTGCTACTCGCTTAGATTTGAGTTTGCCGGCTGGTGTGAGGAAGTGGTTGCATTGAGCATTTCAGCGTTGCTGAGGAGCTGTCGTCATTCATTCATTGAGCTGAGCAGAAAATCCCGAACCACCTGAAATTGATGAAAGCCTACAAACATATTGGGATGCATCACCTACCAGGTGGTGCAGGATTTGACCATTCACAGCATCACCAAAATAGTTGCAAGCTGCGTTGGATGTAGTTTTGCTTTTAGTTATTCACTCGCCCATGCTGTCCCGGGTAAATTGAGACAACATGTCGTGACACAGAAAGTCTGTTCATAGGAGGCTGGTCGGCGACACGTTGACCTTCCAGTAGGAAGGAAACTAGCAGCTTGGTACCGAAACAAGCCTAAGGCTCCACCAGGTCCTCCTCCATTGACTCTTGGAGGCGGGTACATCAACTTTGAAGCTAATGCGATTGTTGGTCCTTTGTGCGTGTGTGTGTGCTTGGTTGAGCTTGCTTATGTTATCCTGATTTATCTAGATTCGAGACTGACTGCAGGGGCCGTGAACCCCGTGGATGCTTATCTAGCTGGTGGTGCCGGTCGCTTAAACCTGTGTATGCCAGCTGCAGAGTTCAAGTTCTTGCAGTGGGTGTTTGAGAAACTGCGCAGCTTCTGAGGAGCAGTAATTTTCATCTGGTTTCTGGTTTGTGTGAGTGTCCTGGTTGGCCTTGATGTGTTGTTTGCCGCTATCACCGAGCGGGTTGCAAGATGCGATGGCACCAGCTCGCTTTGAGTTCGTCACATGTTGCCCCGTCACACTTAACTAAGATGTAACGCCATCATGCAGCAAGTCGTTTGGAGGGCAGCTGGTTGTTGACACGTTGATGCCAAAGCTCTCAACTGGCCACTTGCATCAGGAATACAGCCAGGCTCAAGCTCTTGAATTTGGCGTCAATCCATTGCCAACTGCTTGGTACCGAAACAAGCCTAAGGCTCCACCGGGTCCTCCTCCATTGACTCTTGGAGGCGGGTATATCAACTTTGAAGCTGATGCGATGCTGTGTGTTGGACCTCTGTGCGTGCGTGCCTGGTTGAGCTTGCTTATGTTAGCCTGATTTATCCCAATCTAAATTCAAGCCTGGCTGCAGGGGCCGTGAACCCCGTGGATGCTTATCTAGCTGGTGGTGCCGGTCGCTTAGATTTGTGTATGCCAGCGAAAAAAATCTGAGGAGCTGTGGTTATTTGTATGATGACCTGAGTTATGCGAGTGTCCTGCATGAAATCGGTGGCTTGCAGCAACATTATACATTGAGTGCACTTGTTTGTGGTTACGAATCTGGCTTTCATGGTATGTGGTTGGTACCGACAACCAAGCAGATTGAATCGAGTGGCGGTTGCGTAGTTCACAGCTCTTCTTCAGCCATGACACACTGCCTGAGTGATGTTATACTGTTTTTGGGAAGACCGGGTTCCATGTGTTTTGGCCAATCCGTTTCGGCTGGTATGTTCTGGTCAAGGTGCATTGCACAACTCCCCCATCTCCCATCGTGGCCTCCAGGAGAGCAGCTTCGTCGAGTGGGTTGCTCGTGAAGTGATGAACCAGACTTGGCTACTTGTATGTTCAAACTACCCAGGTTATGAGCCCTGTCCTACTTATAGGCCTGGACATCCTACTAGGTTGAATCTCCAAGTACTTTTCCCCTTTACACGCCGTGCGGATGAGGCTGCAAAGCCTCCACTGACTCTGGGAGGCCGGGCGAGCACTGGAGCACTGGAGGGGATGTTGGACGATTTGGGGTAGTGAACAAGTGGGAAGAGTATGCCTGGTTTTTGCAGGCGAGATTCCATACCACAGGTTTCCGGCATCCCGATTTCGAGAAACCTGTCGCCTGTGAAGCGATTGACCTGCCGATGCGGGCAAGTCAATGCGACCTTGGTCGCAGGGAACCCTCGAAATGAGTGGATATGATGAGAATCATGGATATATATATATATATGTATATGATAAACCTCAGTTCTGGCCAAACACCAGAGTATTTCAAGGAAGGTAGCATATATATATATACATCTATGTATGTGTATATATATATATATATATGTATACATATGTGATGGCCATAGAAAAATGTATATCCTTTTTGGGGGGCGGTTTTTTTTCCAACAACCCCAACCGAGTCGTTTTGCCTTGGTTTTCCTACCGTGCCTAAAACAACATGGCACATCATGGCTCTGCGAAAGGAACGCCTCCGCCTTTGTCAGGGGCTGCAGACCCTGTGGACGCTTTCCTGGCCGCAATCTTAGGGCGAGCCGATTCGTTTTGGGTCTCCAAACTGATTCTGGGGGTGGACTTAACAAAACACCGAATCTGAACATGTGTTTTTTTGCGTTTGGAAGTTTCAGGGGTCCCTTCAACACTCGTAAGGTTTGGGAATGGTGACCCAAGCCTTGTGCCCTCCGGTTTCCCAAGACCTCCATTGTTCCCATGTTGGGAGTGAATATCTCTTCAATTCTTCCATTTGTTTAAGAGGGTTTTTGTTTTCTTTTGTTGGTTGTAAAAGGAATCGATCACCACTGGACATATATGTATACATATATATATATACATTAAAGTTTTAATTTTCCAGGGGGCTTGTCCGCAAATAGAAGAAAATCAAACAACAAAGTTGGGGTGTTTGTTTGATGTGGCGCTACCGGTCCAGGTTCCACGGCGATTGAGACGTACGTTGGGCTTGCGCCGACCAGCGGCATGCTCCTATGATTTTAGAAGGGTCATGGCTTCGCTTTTTGTTTTTTGGTGGTTTCCCTTCAAAAGAAATGGGGAAAAACGGGTACCCCTCACAAAAGTAAAAGAGACCCGAGTCCCGGTCCAGCGTCCTCTTTCCCTTGCCTTCCGGGTTTTCTCTAGCCTTTGCTCTCGGCCGCATCACAGGAGGAATGTATCTCCAAAAGTCACAGGTCGACCGGAAATCAGCGCATTGGATTCAGACCGGACTGAGCTCGCGAAAAACCCCAAGGTGAGGCTCCATAAAAGTAGGATGTGGGTGCTGAGGCCTGAACTCAAACCAAACATTGCTTAGGGGGGGTTGAAGTGGAGAAGCAGCAACTAGCGTCCTTGTTCCTGTTTTGCAAGGTCAGATTTTTCTTATCGGTTCCATCTAGACCGGCTCCAGAAGTGGGTTGAGTGTTCCAAGATCCGTTTCGGTACAGGCGCGTCTTTAAAGCCCGCGCTCTCCGCCAACGACTGAAGCCTGTTGATCTTCTGAAAGGTGCAGACTCCAGCTTTGTTTGCTCCCAAAGCATTTGGGTGTGGCTAAACAGGCAAGTCGCAGGTTTTGGTCCATGTTTCCACTGACCAGGGTTCCATTTTGGAATTCCGGTGTTTTGAGCCACAGCCATTTGACTGCTTCATTTCTCGGAAGCGAATGGAGCTGGAATCTGTCCGGTTTCCCTGTAGCCATGTTCCGGGGCCCGAAAAAATCACCGCTTTGCCCAGGTCCTTTGATCAGAGAATACGCACCTGTCCAAGCGCACGCATTGCATTTGCAACTTATGTGGGTTGTAGCTCTGGTGAGGAGCAAACGACTGAAGCCTCAGAACCCCATGCTTCATCCCAAGTCAAGTGATGCTCCTTCCGAAAGCGTTGATCATGAGACTTTGACCACATTGATGCGTCATTTGAGCGATCAAACCGATGTTCACCGCCCAACATCATAACGGGGCCAAATCATGGCTGTGGGACATGGGTTGTTTGGCCACTTTGGGTCATACCAAGGAAACTATTTGTGCAAAGCAGTCACAACAGGAATTTCCTTTCGCAGAGAGTATGCCTTGAAGAAAAAATAATGGATAGCTGTTGGATTTGTTTCCCAGCCCCGCCCCCCCCCCCCAAGAAACAGATGCACCCAGACCTTCTGGGTCTTGACCCCCTTGGTATTTGGGATCAACACCGTGGCCCCATTTGCCTGAGGCCCAACCAGCGGCACCAGGCAAGGGCCAGAAACTGGGCAAACTACGCCAGGCACTCGTTGCTGGGTGGCTTGTTTTAGGATTCATAGGCTTAGGTTTATAATCCCATGTATACCGATCATAGGGTTATATTGTCGGTTTATAATCCCATGTATTCCCAAACCCACTAGCAGGGTTTAGGGGGTTGCTAGGCACTTAGCCAACTCCCAGACCATCTAAGTCAGGGACAGGTTTCCAATGTGTTGCTTACTTCCCCTCGGCAAAAGTTTCGACCCAAAATGCATGGCCCATGTCCGCCTCTTTCCAAGCCATTTGTGGCGGGCCAATTTCGCAACCTGAAATAATATCGTGATAGGATTGACTTGGTGCAGAGGCAAGTAATTCAATTCAACCCTTGCCGAGACAAGAAAGCCGCAGGCACGGTCTCAAACACTTGAGTGGTAGAACCGGCGTTGCAAGCTTCACGAGGCCGCTTCCTGTAAGTCTTGTCTCCTGATCCGCGGCGTGTTTTTTCAGGGTGTAGCCAGGTAGATGATGAACCCATGGTAAATATATTGAAGCGTGGGGTGAGGGAAGACCTGATGTGTTGCTTGCATTCGCGAGGAAGGCGCCGGGTCACGACCCGTGGCTATGAACCCAACAATTTGGGATCTTGCTGGTTTTCACATCTTGAGGTTTACTCAATATGCGGGTAAAAATCGGGATATGTTTTTCCTCAAAAGGGCAGTCTTCCTTCTGGTTTCCCTTTAGGTCAATTTGAAAAGGGTAACCTCGAATCATACGCATGCACACGTATATGGATGTTCGGTTGGGGCAAAGGCTAAGGTAGACACCTTTAAACCTTCAAGCTAGCAACTACAGAGAAGCGGTTTATTCATATCGCTGCGAGCACTGCAAGTCCATTGCATCGGAGCAACTGGAGAACTCGTGCCGGAAGCTTGGTTGAGGTCCCAGGCAGCCTGATTGATTTGAGTCAAACCCAGCAGAAACCCAGCATTTGTTGGGCCCCTCGTGACCTTTAGACTCCGGGTTTGTTTTTGATGGGCAATCCCTCCAAACTGCTCGGACAGAAATCCCCATGTGATATACCACTCACAAGGAAGCTGACAGGGGGTCCCGCCAAGAGCAAATTGATCTTCCAGGCACTTTTTTGCAGGTGCCATGTTAGGGGGAGGGTAGCTTCACCAGCCTTGTGAGGGTTCCCGCAACCAAATGACAAACCCATCTACGCGATGTCTGCCGAACTCGCAGGCGCTGCGAACCCGGTGGACGAGTACCTGGGCGGTGTGGGGCGGCCAAGATGGGCGCCCAAACGGCTTGCCGGCCGTTTGGGGGCGGGAAGGGATCCATTTGGGTATGTTGTTTTTTTAGGGGCACCCAAATAGTGGTGTTTTCCTTGTAATTGGGTGGGATTCTCCATCTCCGTTGCGCTTGGACTGTTTCTGCAGGTTGTACCCTCGAATTGGTGGGGGTTCTTCACTGGTGTCAGACATTCCTCCTTAGTGAAGGGAAATTGGTTTCTCTGGGCTTTCTGTCGGTGTTCTTTTATTGTTCAAGCGGCATCTTGCATGTTCCGACCCAGAAGGGCAAGCTGACTCGCATCCCAGTTATCAGCAAGGCCACTTTTGCAAAAGGGCACGTGTGGCCTTGGCAGCCCTGGCCGTCGGCTCTTGGCAGCTCGCATTGTTGTTTTTGTTCAGGCTCGCACACCACGGGCCGTTGCCACAAGATTGAAGAGAAGTATCCCGGCGGAGAGGTCTGCAAAGTGGCTCGCTGTCACCATTGCAAGCTGGGGGAGGCAACATCAAATTCTCCAACCATCATCTTGCGCCACTGCACAGATGAGAAGTCCTTCAATAAGATTCAGCAAGCATGTGAGCTTCACAGTCGTGATGATGGAGTAGACGCAAGTTTTGGTCAAGGCGTCTACCGATGTGCTTCCAAGCCAGGTCCCATCTGCATCACAAATGCTTCAGCACAACTACGACCCATCAGAAGACCAGGAGCTGCCGCTCTCACTGCGGATGGTGGTGCTTGCTGTGACGTTCCCACTGCTGCTGGCATGCGGGTCGTCTTCTTCAAGCTCATCCGTTTCTTGCTCTGCAGCATTCCGAGCAGGGTGATGTGCTGAACTACCACCGCAGCCTCAGTCCTCTCTGAAATGGTTTTTGCAGCTGGTTCTTGCGGCTCCAAGCGCCCAGCATGCTCATCGGGATACGCTCGCGGTTTTGAGTTGGGTTGGTTTTGTTTTTGCCGCGGCTATTCTCCTCCTCGCAGATTCTGGCGACACTCTGCTCCCTAAGCTGTGGGACTGAATCCCGAAACCCGTCGACGGTTTTCGTGGCACTTGGGGGGAGTCTGTGGGAGCCGCTCAACTCGAGACGCCGGAGATGTGCGAGGCAGCTTGCAGCGAAGCACATGAACAGCGCCAAGAACTTCGTGAGACATCGCAGATTACACGCCTTGACTCCCAGCAGACAGCAAGCGAGCGTGAGTACAAGTTCCCCGGAAGGGGCCAACGTGAAGCCGATGAAATTGGCTGGATCGTGCCATGCGGAATAGAACTTGAGATGTGTTCAAGTGCAGGGAAGACTTGCGCCATGCTGCATGCTCAAAAGCATGCTGTCTTCAATATGATATCATGTTTGACACGCTGCTCACAATGCCAGCTTCCACGATTTGAGCCTCGTGTGAATGTTCCGCGTTCCTAAACCAGATCCTTTGAGTCAAAGCATAAAACAAGCAGCGCTGGGGAGTTTGCGCTTCTGAAGGCTTGACAACTTTAACAAATAGAAGAAGGCGGAGTGCTACGTAGTAGAAGCAGTCGCAGTAGCAGTAGCAATGGCAGTGGTAGTCGCAGTAGCAACAGCAGCAGCAGTAGTAGTAGTAATAGTAGCCAAGCTGAGAAGGGGTAGCCTCAGAAAAGCCTCAGAGGTGATTTCTCCGGGTCCCGGCCCTCCCGGCCAGGCACCCATCCAGGCCCCGACCTTTGGGCGGAAGGCCCGGGAAAGGGGAGGGGGGAGGTGGGGGCCCTTGGCGCCGGGCGGGGAGAAGGTGGCTATGGCCATGTTTGGGGTGCGTGTTTGTCGGAGGGTATCCTTCCACGTTGCCATTGCTCCTGACAGAGGGTTCCTTGAAGAGGAACATCTTCCAGCTACCCTCCCGCAGGTGCTATGTTAGTGGAAGGGAGGGTAGCCTTTGTCGGATGATCGTTTGAAAGGGAAACCACCAGGAAAGCACCAACCATTGTGGGGTTCCCCAGTTCCCCATTTTGACTGAGCGAAGACCACCATTTGCCACCCGAATTTGGTGTTCATCAGTCAATCAGTTCACTTCCATTGTGCAGGTTGTCCCGTCAGAACTCAAGCTGGCTTCCCTTCAGGGAACGGTCCTATGAGCCTTTTTCTTGAAACGACCCGAAAGCAGTGGGCCTTGCTTTGTGCTGCTGGTTGCCTTTGGCTGTTTGGTGGCTTACAAAAACCTCAACCGGGGCAACAGGGCAGTGACTCATGGCTGACAAAAAAACGCAAAGGATTTCCCAACTTGAATGTGTTTTTTTAGTTATGCAGGCTGAACGCAATCAATGCTGATTCGTGTAAATGAGAGGTAGTTTGCAACAGTCCCAATCGCAAGAAGGCCCGTTGGATTCACTTCTTTAGCAGTGTGTGCCTGTGACTCTGGGGACCCCAGAAAGGATGTCAAGATTGGCGCGGTTGTGAGAAGACCTGAGTCTGTTTCCCAAGGGGTAAAAAGCCAGACATCACACAAAGAAAAAATAGTGTTAGAAAAATGGTCCTCCATGTGACTTTGTGCTTGACCCTTTTTGATCCTTCAAAAGACCCTTGTTCTGACCTGTCTGACCCGACCCCTTGTTTTGATTTTATTTCTTGTGTTTGACCCTTCGAGTTGTCCTTTTGCGGATAGGTCCAAAGAGGCAAAGGGTCAGGAAATGGGGGCAGTGATATGGCGAGGCGGGCAAACCACAGGTTGGGGCCCGCACTGATTGATGAGTTTCGGGCCGCCCCTTGGGTTAAAACACGCGCCGCTTGGTCCCTTGGTGATTTGGGATGCAGGTGTTTCGGAGTTCACTTCCCATTTTTCCCCAACAAGAATATTTGGGTGTGTCTTGGTTAGAGGTACCACCTTCTTGGTTGGTTGGACACGGGAAAACGTAGTCGTGGGGTGCCGGCATTTCAAGCTTGCTCAGTATTCCTGGCCAAATGGGCAACTTTTCCAATAGTCAAATCTTGTTGGGTTTCCCTGGCGGTCCCATGAACCATTCAACATGTTCCTCGCACGAACATAGCAACTCTCTTCATACTTTCGAAAAATCGCGTCTCCGAGAATTGCCGAACCAGTTCCAACATGCAACAAAACAAACATTCTCCTCAGGGTCCCTGAGAACTTTATGAGACCTTAGGCCGCTGCGGCGCCGGGCGGAGGCCGGAGGAACGGATAGGTATCCGGAAAATCATTCTCCAGGGTCCTTTTTGGAGCTTTTTGCTGGGGGGGGTTCCCTTCTAGAATGAACTACCAAGAACCGGGTGCCCTTTCTTGCCATGGAATCTTTTCAGACTAAGAACTGACTTGGATCAGTGTTCAGCCTTCGATCCCACTGTTTTTATCTACTTTCTAAGCTCCCAATGTAGGTGCATCTTTTTCAGGGACTCCAAAATGCTGACTGTTCCTTGTGCGTTTGCCTTAAATCCACAAATTCCCCTCAAAAAAGTGCTACAGGATTCTTGAGATCCTTTCGGCCATGCTTTCCACGGCTCCAGGAAACCAGGTATTGTTCATGTCCACGCGCTGTTCCCTCAAGATGTTGGTGACGGCCCTGCAAAAGGTCAAAAGGAGCATAGGCGTCCTTTTGACCGCTGAGTTCGTGAAAAACACTCCATGGCTCTTTGTTCCCTTTGGTTCTAATCATTTACCATAGCCACCGATTTTGCACAAGGACACCTTTCAGGAGGTAACTGATTGTGGATCGGATTATTGTAAGTGAATGCCTTTGTCGATGGTTTGTCTATGCTTTGTTATGACGCTGTGTTTTTTTGATACCAAGGAGATGCCCCCTAAAGTAAGAAGATATTCATGCGCATGTCACGGGGACTATTCTCCATGGCGGCAATCCCGATGCGTGGCATCCTGGCGCTAGTGGCTTAGTGGGTTCCCACTGCCCTATTAAAAATGGGGACACCCGCCAAAAGGGGTTCGGTTGTTCTGCCAAGGTCAGTGCTTTGACTGGATCCTAGGTATGGTTGTAGCGGTGTAAGAGTGTGTTTTTGTTGACGTTTCTTGTTTGGTTTCTAGCCGAGGCATGGGAAAGTTTGCCCATAAAGGTGTTGCTGGTTTTCGATAATGGTCAGCAAACGGAAGCAGAAGAGGAGTAAATGTAATGGCTGTTTTTGTTCCTTCTCGCGAAACTAAGGGAGTCGAAACATGGTCGGGACGTTGCTTCCAACCTTTTAATGGATTGGAAAAGTGGGCGTGAATGTGATCCACCCAGTCATGATCACAATGCCAGTTGGTATTTTAACATTTGAAGGTGCTGTCCTGCTAGGCACACAGTGGCTTTCTGTGTTTCAGCGTCTTTGCTTATGGCGAGCGAGGTGGGGGCGCAAAGGATATGAAGAACGCCATGCAGGAGCCAGGGAATTGGGAGCCAGGGACTTGCGCAGAGATGCGAAGAAACGGACTTGTCCGGAGTTTGCAACTTCCAACTGAGTCGCTGACGTCGTTGCTGCTCTGTTGGTTTTGGGGAGAACGTGGGAGACACAAGTACCTGGAAGAACCAGGTGGAGCCACCCAATCTCCCATTGTCCCAGAAGGAATTTGTTGCTCAACTGCATATTCAGCCATAAAATGCAGTTAGGCACCGCCGCCAGAGAAATGAGTTGCCACAAGGACAATGTTTGTCATGCTCTCATCGTCCAACAAAGTCTGCACGTGGACGTTGTGAAACATTTGTATATCCTATTTGAATTTGTTGCTGCTCATGTCCAATACCAAAATGTGTGGCTTGCACATAGCTTCAATGTTCATCCCGTCTCTAGACAGTGATTAGAGCCCTGCCATCATTTCGCGACTTGCCTTCTGAAACTTACATCAGTGACATCGGTTACCTAAATAGTGCGACATCAGGGTTAGGCTCAGGATACAACTTGTCCATGTGCTCCTGCTGAAACCATGCCTGTGTGTATAGCCCAAGGCACAGCCTTTCAGGACAAGCCTGAGTCCTTGCGTCAGGTGCCAGGTTGGCAACAGTGAGTCAGTGGCAACGTGTTTGATTATAATGATATGTTGTTTTTGGAAGACACCCCTCCTTTGGCGTAGTGTTGAAGGGAAGCCCAAAGGAAGCTAGCCCTTGTTGGGGTCCGATTCCTGTCTTCACACACACCCATATCTCGCCTGGGAGCCTTCCCCAACCGCCAAGTCATGCAACGCAGTCGCACTTAAACCCGCGGAAAGTACGCTGTCGAGCTTCCACATCACCGTGATTTATTGGAAGTACCCTGAAACGTGCCCCCCTGGTGTTTTTTTTGGAGGGAATGACCCCCGGTTAAGCTCGACCATGCGCAAAGCATGGTTGATGTTGTGTTCCTGGGCCTCTGGGGATGGTACACCTGCAGTTTGCTGCAGGATCTCTTCAAGAAGAAGTGACGCTGGACCCGTCCAGTCGGGAGGCGCAACAAGAAGCAGCTCCATGGGGCCAGAAAACTCGCATGGCGCGGTGCTGTTCAGACACCCTTTCTCTGCGTTGCTTCTCTTTTGTTTGGGTTTTCTTGGCGGGGGTTGTTTGGCTTGCCCTGTAAAAGCCAATATCCAACAAAACGTGCCCTTGGCCGCCCAAGAAACCAACCGGCCGGGCCTGGGCTTGGACGAGGCCATGCACGAGAAACGTTGGCGCGACCCGTTGGCGGCCGCACCCCGAATTCGCGGAATGGCAAGGCTCTAACTCGGAGCGCTGGCGCGAGGCTTGGCCGCTCGGCCGATGCCATCAACCCACTTCGGAGCTCCGTTTTCAATTTTCGTCGCTTTGGGACCCTTGAGTGCGAACTTTGGTGGCACTCAAAGTTTGTTTAACAACTTTTTGTCGAACGCACTCATGTGTTAAAACAACTTTTGGTCGAATCCACTCAGGAAGCGAGTACACTCCAAAGTGTTTGGTCAGAGCCGCGGTGTGCTGTCATGTACGCGTTTTCTCAAGCAGATGCTTGGGCATTTGAGAAGTAGCTCCCATGTTGTTCACCCGAAGGCCGAAGGGCACAAGCCGACTGCACAGACGTGTTGCAAGCCGAGTGTCAAAGACACACTGGCGCACAGAGAGTTCTCCGGGGACCTGGCGAAGAGAGCGAAGACTTCGCGCAAGTGCGTTTGATGTGTCTTTCTTTTTAGGGGACCCAAACAGGTTCCCTTTAAACCTATCTAAACCAAGTGTCCGAGCAAAGAAAGACACACTCATGTGGATCTTCTGCAAAGGTAGGGGGTCCAAGAACTGTTGTGTCTGTGTGGAAAAGCGGCTGATGTCCGTGGTGTCCTTAACAAAATGAGGCGGTGGCCTTTTTGGCCTATGAACACGACAATCTTCGCATCATCTGGCCCATGCCTTTGCGTGCGGGTTCCCTTTACGCCTGGCGTGGCTTTGCAAGCGACACGGACTCAACTTCTGCCCACGCCGACTACGCGCTGTCTCAAGTCTGCGGCGGGGCTGCAGACGCAGTCAGCCGCCCTCTTTTGAGAGTTCCATGTTTGTCTGAGACTTCAGCCGCATCTTGGCTGCAGTCAAAGTCAACCGAGCCCAAGCACAACATATTGGTCTCCTCCCCTGCATTGGAAGCCGGGTCTGAAAACAATGGTCTACCAGGGCCCCCAGTCAGGTTCAGAAGTTCAGATGGGAGGGTGTTGACCAAGGTCCCCTTGTACCCTTTCTTGGGGGAGGGTTCCCCTACTAAAATGTATGGTACCCTTATTGGAACCTCTTTACTGGAGGACCCAGCGACAGTTCGTTGCCAGAAAAGGGAGGAATCTGAGGAATCGAGGGCCTGCAAAGCTCCGAATCTGAGGCACCCATGCGATGAGTTTTCATGGCGGCGTCACGCACGCTGCCCCATTGGTTGGATCCTGAGAGAGTCGAGATGATTGCTTGATCCGTTTGCATTGCAAGGTAAGGGCAGCAGGAAAACCACCATTTTGGGAGTCCAACGGGGTTATGCTTTGTAAGGGCAGCAGGAAAACCACCATTTTGGGAGTCAAACGGGGTTATGCTTTGTAAGGGCAGCAGGAAAACCACCATTTTGGGAGTCAAACGGGGTTATGCTTCGTAAGGGCAGCAGGAAAACCACCATTTTGGGAGTCCTATTGACTCCTGATACCCAAATTTGTGAGCTTGTCTGGTTGAAGTGACAAAGCTATGCGTTGCGCGACCGGAGGCTTGCACGTTTGCCAAGGTTTTCTTTCTCAATGTTCTGGCTGCTTCCCATAGCGCATTCGACAGCAAGGGCATCATGCGGCGGCAGAAGGCAGCAAGATGCTGTCGCTGCTTGAATTTCTGACGAGTTTACTCGGTGTGAAAGCAAGCTACATGATGAAGAGCCTAGGGCCCATTTCCAGTTGCTGAATGCGAGTTGCTAACGATTCGCATCTTAGGTGGTGCCTTGTGTTGGATGTTTGGGTTCTTTGTCACTGTCTGAACTGGTGGCCTCCCCATTTCACTCCAACACCCCAGCCCCCCGCCTGGCTCCTTGGCGCACTCAGAAAAGAGTTTTCGAGCTGATTTGGGATATATCCCGCAACTTTCCCAGTGGATCCATTTACCTCTATAGGCAACCAAAGGCTACCCTTTAGAAGCCAAGAGGAGCATGGCCAAAGAAAGGAACCACGCCCCCCCCCCCCCCCTGCGTTTGTTTGGTACGGATGTTCGAACTGTTTGGGGGTCCGCGTGTTTCTCACCCGAAGATCTGGATCCTGGAAAACCACCGGATTGGATTGACGGATTGACGGTGGTGGTTTAGAGGTAAAAACGGTGGCCGACGGTGGCTTCCCTCTGAAAGGCGAGAGGGCTTCCTGATTTTCCGAGCGCAAACCGCAGGGGTTCAAAGTCTGAAAGAAAACTCCAGGCACCCCAAGTAACCAGCTCGATGTGGTGCACAGCAAGTCCATACATCCAAGATCCAAGGGTTACGTTGGCCACAGTGTGCAAAGTCCCGTTGAGGCAGAAAACTGGTGCAGGAGTTCCTTGGTTGTCCCTCTCTGGAGCGATGCTAAGAAAGGACGCATGTGGAGACCCGTTGGGAGGGCTGGGTCAAACCTACCCCAAAGAGAGAGGAAGCTTCTGACCACTCTCCAGAAACCTCGGGCGAAACATCATTCGGCAAATGGGAGAACTGACTCAAAATGCATATGGGTGTGGCTCAAAATTAAACAGGAGGGGTTACGCAGGTTTTGGTCTATGTTTCCACTTACCAGGGTTCCAATTTGGTACCGGTTTTTGAGCCGCAGCCATATCGGATGCTTAACAAACATTTAAGAATGCTGGAACCCCAAGGCCCTTTCCGGTCCGAACCCACTTGTGTCCTTTTGCACCTTTGTGCCTGGACGCAATCCTGCACCAGGTGAGTTTGATTCGAAAATCCAGGGGTCCACTGGTTTCAATTGGATTTACCCATTTGCAAGGGAAGCGAAGCGATGTTTGTCGCCTGTCACCTTTCGCATTTTGAGTTCTCTGAGTGAAGTTCCCATCGCTTCCCATGGCGTGGCAAATTGGCCTCGCGGGGCTCGACGGCGGTCAGATCCACCTGGACGTGGCGCCGGAGAGGGGGCCCGCAACGGCAAACACCATGAGCTTTTCTCCCCCCTCCGTTCTTTTGTTGAAGATAGTATTGAAGTGTTGCTTGCTGTTTGCAGTTCTTTTTCCCGAAAGCATTGCGAAGGGTTCTTCCGGTAAAGTCGTTGCGTTCTGCACAGCTCAACTGCATAGGGAAAGCAGACAGTGAAATGCATGGAGGCAAGCATAGGGAAAGCGCACAGTGAAATGCATAGGGCAAGTACAGGGTGAAATGCATAGATGCACAGGGAAAGTAGACAGTGAACTGCATAGAGGCATGCACAGGGAACGTAGACAGAGTGAAGTGAATAGAGGCATGCATAGGGCAAGCACGAGTGAAGTGCGTAGAGGCATACGCAGGGTAGACAGTGAAAAGCATAGTTGGAAAGAATGGCCTCATGCGCGTCATGGAAAGTGCTTTCGGGCCACCCGTCTTCTATTTACTTGTTTACACTTGTGTTTGAACAAAAAGGAAGAAAAGTGTGGCATAAAGATAGGGAATGGAGATCAACATATACGCAAATGAATAAGCAAATGAGCAAGTAAATGAATGAAGCATCGTTGACAGCAACATCCTGGACACGTGCAACTTGCCCATCAAAGCGAAACGTCTATACATGTCGGGGAGCCCCTTCAAAGAGTACTGGAAGGTGCTCTTTGCTTCAAGTTGAAGCATTTAATCTCACCCAGAATTGGAGACAGGTGAAAGGACAAGCAGGATGTTGACAAAGGTGCAATACTGGTGTCTCCTTTTGGGGGGATCTCCCGAAATGGGGGTTGTCCTCATATGCATGTTTCTATAAAATCCTTGCACAAAGATGCCCGGATTGCGCCTTTGGCCATTTGTGAACCCAGAGACTCTGTCAAAGTCTCACTCTGTGAGTTCATGGACCTCAATCACTTTTTGGCTTTGGAGTGGATGTTTGATTGAAATGTCTGTGTTGTAGTTTTGCTTGATCCGTGCCTTGCGTGTTCTGACTTGTGCAAACAGTGTTCTGCGTGCTCTCTCTACTCCTCCTTGTGATTGTGAGCTGTCTGCTCCTGTGTTCCTTGTGGTGATGTTGCCTGTTTGCCACTGTTGTGATGAGCGCTGTCAGGAAGTTTTCCTGATCTGATTGTAGTATGGTGTCTGATGTTCTTCCACATTCAATGGCGATTTTTTATGTAGTTGTTTGACTGCATAGTCGAAGAGCACCCTCTTGTCGGTTAGCTGTATTTCCATGATCATCCCAGATTGGACGTCAAGCTGTATGATTGGAAGGTTGCTGTGTTGCTTTGGGTGATTGTTTTGTCTGCCTCTTGCTTGTACGCATATTGGACACCAATTCCTGTAAGAAGGTGTGTCACATTGTGCTCTCGGATCTCCTGTGGTGTTGGTTGCTTAGGTGCTTGTGCTGCTTTTGCTTTTGTGCCTTGTTGTTGTTCCTCATCATCTGACTCAAGTTGTGTTGGAAATTCCTGATATTCTTCGAAGTTTGTCCAGCCTGTCCAAGGCTTATCTGATGTCTTTGCCGACTGTGTTGTCCGTTCATCTTCTACCAACCTGATGTTGCGCTCACCTCCTACTATTTGTAATTTGGTCTGTCTCCATGGTGTGAGTCGCTTGATGTTTGGCCCGTCATGTGTCTGGTAAAATGCTGTGTGTGGCTCGATGATTACTCTCTTCCAGTATGGGCCTTCTCTGGTGTACTTGTGAAGGACGTGGAAGTCCATGTCCAGCTGCACCTTTGGCGGTGTGTGGTGCTGCTGCGTCACTGATTGTTGGTGGTGTTGTTCTCTCATTCAATCTCTTGCGTGGGATCACTTGTGGTGTGACCTTCTGTGGCGCGCTCTTTGGCTGCGTCTCTGCCGCAAACTGTTGCTGTAGTGTCTCTGGCAGTGTCGTGCCTTTCACATTTGCTGTCGTGCTTTGTGGCATTTCCATTGTTTGATACTTGTCCTCAAACGTGTTCGTTGTTCCATCCTGGAATCTGATGGTTGTTGTCTTGTAGTCGTCAAGATGTTCTTCTGGGACTGGACACTGTGTTCTTGATGGTGTGAAGAGTGTCTTCCTGTATTGCCTACTGTGTACTCTTGTGTTGGACTGCCAGAAATCTCCTGCATATCCTGTATCTGCAGAGCCTTGTGGGTGTCAGTGTTGTGGTCGGTGCGATCATGCCAATTTGTCCTTGTTTTGTGTTGTGTATTTGTAGCTTTGTTCCTTGTGGCAATGATCTGATTTCTGCTTGTAGGAAGAACATGCCATTTCTGTTCCCCAGTGTGCTGTTGAATCCTTTGATGTGCTGTAGTCTTGGATTGTCATCCAATGTAAGCCCTGTCTTTTTTCCGTGATTTTCGGCGCTCAGAAGCGGTCGGGCTATCTCAGCTGGTAGCCTGAGCGGTGAGCAAAGAGTGGAACATTTGCATTGACACCGGCGCGCTGGCCAAACATCCCATACGGTGTCTAACCTGTGTTTACGTGGCCCTGCGTTCAAAAAGATGTAGTTTGCCTGCTTCGGAGGGGGGGGGAAGAAAAAATCTCTCCCCGCCCCCCTTTCCAGATCAGAGTCAGGCAATAGCACGACCTCTTTCGACCGTCGTACACGCAGAAGGAAGATCAGATGAACGACTTCCTTCGAACGCAGACGCAACATCAGATGAAAGACTTCTTTCGAATGCAGGATGCTTTACTTCAGGCAAGCAAGAATGACATCAACGGTTTTCCCCCTTTTCCTACCTGGTTTTCCCCCTTTTCCTAACTGTGGAAAAACAGGGCCCGTGTAGCGTCCCTTTCTGTTTGGGTTCCCCTACCAAAATAGACGTCCTGAAAAAGAAACGGTACCAACTTAATCTAACCTCTCTACTGGACCTAAGAGAAGTGGCCCCAGGACACTCTGGGCTCCGAGCTCCTGCAGCGCGTGATATCTCAGCTCCCGCCGAAGCCTGGAGGACAACTCCGCCTCAGCTTTGGCGGGAAGGAGCTCCTGCAGCAGCGGAGCCTAAGAAACCAAGGCTCATGGCTGGCCTTTCTTGGCCTAAGGGAAACCAGAAGGAGGTTGTTGTTTGAAGACAGCGGTGGATCTTAAACATGGGTATGCCGTGTTTTGGGGGATCTTGGGGATCAGAGAGAGAGGGAGAGAGAACAAGAACGTTATTTTTCCTTTAGGTTCCCTACAACTCCAGAAACTACTTTACTTGGAATCATCCCCACCCAAAGAAATTGCCTCGGCGAAATTAGACTGCACCCACACAGGCGCTAAAGCACGCTGCTGGCTGATGCGACTCAGTCAAACCAAAATGGAACCAAGGCAGCTCAACCCGAATGAATAGCAGCCGTAGCAGCTACCGAAATCACACTTCTGTTTGGTGGAGTTTCCCTTGATCCGGCAGACTTCAATTCTTCGAGGGACCAGGCAAGCTCTTGATATCCCCAAGATCCAACTACATTGGCTGATGGCAGGTGAACATCTTCTGAACGTGTCGATCCAAAGTTGCCAAGCCAAGCAAGTCTAAGCGCTGAATCTTCTTCCTAGGTGCGCAGCAACGCTGCAGCAGCCAGCTTTTTGTTTGCGTCAGACGCGCGTGCCCTTCAGACGCCTAACTGTGTACTCCTGGCGCCTGGGCCTACTCCAAGCTCCTTGGGCAGCGGCGAAACGCTGCAGCCCAGCGGCCCAAGCAAGACGACAGCCCCGGGGAAGGCGCGGCAACTTGGCGTCCAATTCGCTTGGAGCACGTGCAAACCTGGCCTTGAGCATGCCAAATCTGCGCTGCTGAGCTCATTTGCCTAGTGCTCTGCTTGCTCTGGAGGGGACGCCAACACCTCAGTCTTCGGACTGTCAGCCATTGGCCGGGGACGCCAGCTTCAGCCTATCGCAGCTGACTCGCACTTCGGGAGCCCTCCGGCTTTGGACGGTGGGGGCTGTCTTGGCTTGGCCGCTGGAGGGGGCCTCAAACTTCGAGCTGTCGCGGCCAAGCTCTCTCACAGCTGCATGTCTGTCACACCTGATGGAAGGCTCTGTCGCAGCTGTCTGTCACAAGCTTTGTCCTGTCACAGCTGCCTGTCACACAGGCTCTGCCGGTGGGCAGACTGTGGCGGCCGGATGTCACTTAAAATCTAGCAACCCCAAACCTGCCGGGGAAACAACAGGTTCCCTCGAAAAAACGCAGCCACGCGTGGAAGCCAAGGCTTGACCCAACCCTGTCGCATGTTGCGCGGACCCGGTTTTGGCGCAATGATTTGTTGGGGAAGTTTTTGGCAAGTCAGGCTTGGCCGACGGCTGTGTTGGGGCATATACCTACGCTCCCACCCGCCTGGGGCAGGCGTGGCATGTATTGAGAGGAGACGACACCTGCGTGGGAGCGCTCGAAGGAATCACCCAGCTGGCCCTGCACAACATCCGCGGCATCTCGCAATCCTTGCCACACAGCTTGCAGAACCTGCATGTTGGCCTGGGTGCGGTCGACAAAAGTTTCCAGAGCATGATGTTGGACAGCATTCAACACCTAAGTTTCGGGCAACAGTTCAACTCGGACTTGCAAGGGACGATGCTGCCCAGAAATCTCAAGACCCTGACTTTTGGCGACATGTTTGACCAAAGGTTAGACGGAGTGATTTTTCCTGGCAGCCTGCAAAGCTTGATTTTCGGTCGAGGCTACAACCAGCCCTTGCAGAGAGTGACTCTGCCGGGCAAGCTGCAAAGTCTCAACTTTGGCAACAGCTTCAACCAGAGCTTGGAGGGGATCAAGATACCGAGCGGTTTGCAAAGCCTGATATTTGGCTACAGCTTCAATCAAAGCATGCAAGGTTTGACGTTACCAAGCAGCTTGCAATGCCTGACATTTGGTTCCAAGTTCAATCAAAGGCTGCAGGGCGTGTTGCCAGTTGCTTTGGGGAGCCTCACTTTGGGCTTTGACTTTGAAGAGCTGAAGGGAGTCACTTTGCCGAGCAGCCTGCAGAGCTTGCATTGTGGCTCGAAGTTCAAAAAGTGCTTGAGGGCTGTGACTTTGCCCCAAAACTTGTGCAACCTTACCTTTGGCGGCCTGCTGAACCAGCAAGAGACGTTGCCAAGAAACTTGATGCACCTCACCTTCAGCCAAACATTCAACCAGCGCTTGCAAGAAATGAATTTGCCCAGTTCCTTGAAAAGCCTGACGTTTGGCCTGCGTTTCAACCAATGCTTGAAAGGGGCCTCTTTGCCAGAGAGCTTGCAGCACCTGACTTTCGGGAGGGACTTCAATCATAGCCTGCAGGGAGTGACTTTGCCAGCCGCCCTCAAAAGCCTGAGTTTTGGGTATTATTTCGACCAAGTCTTGCACGAAGTGGCTTGTCCCAGCCTTCAAAGCCTTACTTTCGGCGAGCAGTTCAACCGATCTCTGCGTGGAGTAACATTACCATGCAATCTGCAGACCCTGACTTTCGGCGAGCGCTTCAATCAACCCTTACAGGAAGTGGTGTTGCCAGACAACCTGCAGAGCCTGACTTTTGGTGACTGCTTCAATCAACCCTTACAGGAAGTAAGACTGCCTGGAAACCTCCAGAGCCTGACTTTTGGCGACTGCTTCAATCAACCCTTACAGGAAGTACTGCTGCCGGGCAGCCTGCAGAGCTTGGCTTTTGGCGAGTGCTTCAATCAACACATACCGGAAGCAACACTGCCGGGCAACCTGCAGAACCTAGCTTTTGGCGCCCGCTTCAAGCAACGTTTGCTTCCTGCCAACGACTTCTTTCAGAGCGCGCGTGGAATCAAGCTCCCGAGTGGCCTGCAGAGCCTGACTTTGTCAGCAATTGCACATTGGCAAGTTTTGCCTGACGGCTTGCAAAGCTTTTCGGCCGGAGGTATTCGACTCAGTATTCAGCAGTCACATTGCCACGCCGGATGATCACGGTGTGGGCGACTGATTTCGGGAGGTTTCCAGGAGAGGAGAAAGAGTTTGAATGACTCTTTAAAGGCACACCAAAACAAGGGTACCAAATCGAGTGACTCGCTATGAAGGGTTTTTCTCTGTTGATGGTTGTTTGGGAGATGCTCGTGGCTCCACATCTGCCAACTGCAAAGAAGAGATCCAAGAAGTGCTCCCATGTTTCGATGTGTGTTAACACGAAAGGAACATGTTTTGAAATTGTGCTTGGTTGGGTTCCACTCCATTTGCGAGAATCGGACAATGTTACCGTGTTGCAAATGGCAAGAGTTCCCCCCCCAGCAGCAGAAAACGCGACGTTTGCACGCCGCCAGTTCGACTCATCGAGTTTCGGGTACAGACACCCCATACTCAAGGCTTGGAAAAACAGATTGGCTGCGAGGGCAGGGCCGGAAACATTGCGGAAGGAAAAAGGGATGTGAATCTAAAAGTACAATCCCTGATCATGTGGGTGGTGGTTTGGTTTTCCGCTCAAGCAAAAATGTCTAGAGATGGACATATCAACAAACATGGTGGCACCACACCGCAGCCGCGGAAGGTTTGCGGAAGTGTTTTTGCCGCGCAGGCTCACGGAAGGGACGTGGTTGATTTGCTCTTTCCTGAAGTACATGTGCTCTTGCAGGGCTCCATGAAAGATACATGTTGCCCATTTGATTATTTGAAACATGGCTTTTTCCACCGAATTAAAGGGAAATCACAATTACCAGGCAATGTTCATGTGTATAATGTAAGGATCCCTGTCTTACTAGAACTTTTAGCCGCTCCCTCGCGGACGCCACCTTCCTCAAATTCCAGAAACAACTTGCCGGCTCAAGGCCCACGGAAGCACTTAGAATCATGCTCGAAGGTGAAGGACCTAGGTCCCCCAGTGCCCTTTCTCACCCCTTTTTTGGCGGAGGCTTCCCCTACTAAAATAGACTACAGAAAAAAGGGTACCCTTATTCTACGCTCTCTACTAGAAGACCTAGGTACCTTTCACTCCGCGGAAGGTTTCGCAGAAGGGGCCCATGCGTCCAAGTGCCAAAACACGGCAGGGATAGCAGAGAGTCTGCGGGGCGATTCGCAACGAATGGTGTTGACGCGGTACTTCCACATTTCGTAGATCCAAACCCAGTTCAATTGATACGATGAGACTTCCCCAGAATTAGCTCCCCGTTTTCCGTTTTTGCTTTTTTGGGGTCCCCTTTGTTTTCCACTAACCAGCAAAAAAGATATTTTTTTGCTGGGGTCCCTTTTTTCCAGCCAAGGAGAAAGCATTGTATCCCCATTTGGGTTGGGTTGCTTCTCACCAAATCTCACAAACATTTAGTTGTGACCGTTTTGATGTCCTGGTTCCTGGATGACCCTGATCCCTTCTAGTTGTCCGGTTTGCACTCCCCAAACAGTGGCGCCCTTTTCCAACTTCTTTTTGGAGAGCAGTGTGCTTCAATCAAAATCGCCCCCGCCCCAAAACCGGTCCTTTTGCCTCACTTCTTCAAAGCGAATCGACCTTGTCACCCTGCGGCTGTCCCCTTGGAACCGGTCCTGCGGGCCATTCAGCTCCGTGACGCACATTTGGGTGTGGGGGCCAGGGGACCGCAGGTTTCAGTTCGTCTATGTTTTTTCCCCATTTACACAGGCTTCTGAAACTGGGGTGACCCTATTCTTGAGCCACAGCCATGTAAATAACAAGCTTGGTTACTGTTTGTTCTGTTTTGGGGTGACCTTTTTTTGGACCCATACCCTTTAACCGTGCCCAAGTTGGCGCGCAGGTTCTCATGACTATGACATCAGATGGGCAGATGAGCTCAAGCTGGTGGCTTTCAGACGATGCCGAGATGCCCGCCTCTCGCCTTACAAGTTGACAAGTCATGTGGCTGCGGGTGTCAAAACCGTTTTGGCATCCCATGTTGGTTGGAATTGGTGAATTCACCACCCATTTTAGGCGATTTATTAACCAGGCTCCCGCCTGCTGCCGCCGACCCTCGGCGCATTAAGGGAAAAGTCACAAGGACCGGTCCTGAAACACGTCCGCAAACCCGGGGACCACTTAGAAGATCCTCTACGACCACAAACAAGGATTAACGGAAAAGTCAGAAATAGGGCAGCTAGTCCGTTAATTACCGCGTGGGCCGGCTTGCGCCCAAGTCACTTCGAGTTGGCGCCTCTCCCGGGGTCGCCCTGAAACTGGCCCTCCCGAAGTTGCCCTGGACCGGTCGCCGGCAGGGACCGGGACTTGGGACCCTATCCAGGCTGGTCCCAGTCTGGCGCGGTTTGACTCGACGTCTTGGACTCTCTTGCAGAATGGATCCAGGGATCCTCTACTACCACAAGGATTAACGGAAAAGTCAGACAGATGACAGCTCCGTCAATAACCGCACGGGCCGGTTTATGCCGAAGTCACGTTGAGCTGGTCCTAGAAACAAGGTCCCCCTCAACTGGTCGCAATCAGTGACGACCTGGGACCCTGTCCAGCGTCCTGGGTGCCAATCCGGAAAGGTCGCACCACAACAATTTGAAGTACCAGCGGTCACACCCGATCCCGGGACCGGCTTCCCAGACTGGTCCCAGGACGGTCCCAGGTCCTGGGACCGGTCCCAGACCAGCCCCAGGACCGGTCCTGGAAGTCCTGGGACTGATTCTGGGACCAGTCCGGACCGGTCCTGGGACCGGTGCCAGGACCAGTCCGACCAAACCGATTGGTCCTGGGACCAGTCCCAGGACCGGTCGGACCGGTCCTGGGACCGGTCCCGGGACCGGTCCCAGGACCGGTCCCAGGACTGGTCCCAGGACCGGTCCCGGGACCGGTCCTGCGAACCCACTTTTTGTGGGTTCGGGCGTGCCCCCCAGGGATTTTTAGTGGGGTTGGGGTGTTCACTGGGGGCTAAGTGGGATTTTGACCCATGGCCATGTTTCTTTGGCGCCATTTTGCCAAGGGATGTTAGGACTGAATAACTTTTGGCCAACTAATGGGGTTTTCCGTATTAAACCACTAAAAGTTTCAACTTTTGGCAGGCGAGCAGAAAGCAACCGAGTTTGAAGGAACATCCCCGGACGAACAAACCTGTTGAAGGAACATCCCCGAACATCCCTGAATAGGGGAAGGAAGATTTTCTTTGATGGCATCAGTTGAATGGCGGTAGCTAAAAAGGTAAATCGAGAGGAACCCGCAGCCCGTGATGGGGAAGTTGCTGTGATCTTGCGTTGAATGCCTTTGTTTACGTGGCTGGTTGACATGAGCCCCATATCCATCAAAGGGTCCAACAAAAAATCGTCCATGCTCATGACCCGCCAACAAAGACATGCGGTCCCAAGAATATTGACGTAGCATCTCTAAAGTGGTCAAAACATGGCCCGAAGGGTCTCATGCTGTTTTGTGGCGATGGCATTTGTCCCAAACCCTTGGGGTGGACCACATAGGTGTGTCGGTTTTGTTTCGGTTTTTATTATTTGCCGGTTGTTCGGGAACCCTGGTTGGTTGGCTTTCAAAGGGAAACCAAAAGGAGAACCACCAGTTTGAAGACGACCCCCAAAACAAGGCACGCCCACATGCGCCAGTCGCGAGGTAGTTTCAAGTAAGGGAGAAACGTGATCCTCAGATCTCCAAGTTGTTGACCCCCGAGAAGTGGCTCTCGGGGTGCGAGATAAATTGCAACCAGTGTCGCGAATTTCTCAAAACTTGGTGGCCCCCAGCCGTCCCCTTAGCCTTGTCTTGACTGCTAGTGGGTTGGATCTTTAGACTTTAACTTTTTGGGAAATAAACGTGTTTTCTACTAAACCCCCCAAAAAGTTAAGCTTTTTGCAGGGGGGTCAACAGCAACCAAGTTTTAGGCCTTTAGGGTTTAGTGGTAGGATCTGAGGGCAGCCCAGAAAAGGCAACGGATGGTACAAAATGTACCTTCCCAGAAGAAAACAACCAACAAGGTTCTGGGTGACGGACTTTTCATATTTTTGCCGGACCCCTGTTTGGCATCCAGATGAGCAACGGACAATACTGCCAGGCTATCAGGTTTATGGTGTCTCAGTTTGTTGTGGTCATCAAGTGTGAGCATCGGTGAACAGTTTAGTGCTGTCCAGTGCAAATGTGAGAGCGTGCGCAAAGAAGTTCCGCTAGAATATATCTCCCACCATTCCATCCGATCCTCTGACACTTTGTTTTCAGGTGTCGCGTGGCGTCTCCTTTCGCCATGTGTCCCATGGGTTGTCAGCATCTCCTTTTGGGAAGGCCTTGAGAGGCCGAGGACCTGAAGCGAGTTCGGCGAAAACGGGCTCTGGTTGGTTGGACATGGGACTGGAGATCCCTGGAGTTGCTTTGAGGCGAAACCACAGTCTGCAACAAGCAACATGTTCCTCTTGCCCATCCTGTGGGAAGTGAGTGCCCCTTTCTGTGCCGCGTGGTTGCTTTCCAGCCCTATGCTCGGTCAACGTGAGGTAACATGTCCCTCATTTTGCCCACTGGAATGATGATCATCAGCTTCAATTCATGGGCGTTGACCAAGTAACACTACAATGAACAAGCATCACATCCAATATGTTGGAGCATCAAGTGAGAGCAGACCCAAGTAGCAGAAATAACTTTTTTGGAGCCCTTTTTTTTTCACATCACCCCAGGTCGATCCGTCTGAGTTCAGCCGCGGATCGATCCGTCGGCTCCCAAAAGGCTGAGGGCTTCCTCTACCACGTGGCCTTCGAGAAACTCGGTCCAACTTTTTCCGCGGACGCCGAAGTTTTGTTTATAGGGGGCAGGTTGCAAGGGGGGGAGTTGAGAGCCCTAGGGTTCCTTAGGGTTTGTTAGGGTTGCGGGTTCCTTTGGGTTCCTTTGGGTTCCTTTGGGTTCCTTGAGATTTTTTAGGGTTCTTTGGGTTTTTGTTGGGGTTCCTTTGGGTTCCTTAGGGTTCCTTTGGATTCCTTTGGGATTTGTAGCGTTCTTTTGGTTTCTTGGGGTTCATTTTTGGGTTCCTTTGGGTTCCTTTGGATTCCTTTGGGATTTTTAGGGTTCTTTTGATTTTTTGGGGGGCCCTTAGGGTTCCTTAGGGTTCCTTTGGGTTCGCTTGGGTTCTTTAGGGTTCCTGAGGGTTTTTAAGATTTCTTAGGGAGCCTTAGGGAATCCCCCCGCTTGGACCACCCCACCCCGCTTAGGGATCCCATATTTTGTGTTTGCGATGTGAATCCGGCGGTCCCATCACCTGCTTACCTTGCACAACCTCAGCTTACAAAAAATGAGACACCGCCTGGTGGTTTGCTTTTGCGGTGTTGCTCACTTTCTAGACTTCTTACGTTTCGAGAAGTGCGTTTTAGTGGTTAGCAAAAAGTTCAGACTTCTTTGGCCGACCCGCTCGATCGGAAGCGAGCGTTAATCCAAGATGACGAATACCTGCTTGCCTTTTGAGGCCAGGGGCCTTGATTTGGACAGCTTACATTTCCCTTTTGCTTCATAAACACCACCTTGGCCAGGAGTGAGTTTCCTAGGCTGACGTTTAAAGGCTGGAAATGAAACGAACCCGGGTAGACCTGGCTTTCGTCAAGACGGCTGGGGTCTGGTTGAAGGGAGAAAGGGCGGATCTTCTGATTCTAGCTACGCCTGCCCGCCATTGTGTTAAACCCTCCTTGAACGGGAGACCCATACTTGGATGTTCGGCCAAGATAGTAAGTGGTTAACTTCTTGAGTTTTTAACCCCCTAATAGCAAGGTTAACCCCACTGAGGGAACCAATCAGTGGGTGGTAACCTAGGTTACCAACAACTTGCTAACTTGGCGAATCGACCTCCCAAGAAGGGACTTCACTGTTCTTGGCATGTTTGTTTTGCCTGTTGTTTTTTGGTTCTGTTCATTTTTACTGGGGGTCTGCAAAAACCAAAAAGTTGTTCGATCTACCATACCAAGAGTAGAGATGGGGAGGTTGCTTTAACAATAGCATCTTGAACATGCTCACACAGGCGGTTGCCCAGCGCCCCTAGCACTTCTTTTTCCCTTGGATCTTGTGGACTCTATGGGATTTGATTTGTCAGTATGGATAGGGTACGTGGCCGGTTTCCTACTGGCTTCCCTTTTCACAGTTCCCAAAAGAAAACAATCCCACATAGTGTAAATGGGGGTATATATGAGAGCTGCCTTTTGTAAGAACTTCACCCTGTCCGAACACTGGAACATCCACTGGGTAGTCATTCTGGTTAATCCATCTAAAAAAATACCACCGGGGCAATGGGGCCTTCAGAAGCCTGCCCCACATGTTGGCCCGCGTTTTCTCGCCCAGAATCGAGCGCGATTGGATCCAAATGGAGCTGAGGTTTGGTTGACACGCCATCGTTGGGCCATTTGTTGAGTTTCTCTCCGATCGATACTTGCAGCTTGCGCATCGCTTTCGGGGATCGAGAGATCGGCTAAGGATGGATAATCGACTCATGTGCTGGAAGAGGCCGAGTCGTTATGGCTGTGTACCCCAATTCTGGAGCCCAAGGGGTCCTCATTGCCCTCACCAGCCTGCTTTTGGCTAGGAATCAGTTCTGTTGCCAGGAATGTCCTGGGTTCCAGGGCGTTCGTAGCGGGGGATTTGTGCAATTTTAAAGAAGAAAATGCAGAGAAGCATGTGGGTTTGTGTCCAAGAATGTGATCTAGCTTGCTCAAAAGCTGGAAATGCTTTCGTTAAACCAGCCTGAAGGGGGGGTACCCGTTTTAAAAGAGGAGATGCACCCGTGTAGCATTGACTCTGTCTCAGAACTTATTTTAGTGAGCTGCAGAAGTTAGATCACGTGTGTTTGCCCGTGAGAACCATCCCTGCCAACTAGTGTTCCCATCCTTTTCACCCATGCTGATCGTCAAAACAACATGAAGAGAATGAGTCAAGAAGGATCCTGGGAAGATTCCTTGGGTGTGAAGGTTGGCAAAAATCGGCCAGGGAGACAGATGGATGCCGACAGTTCGCCGGAGATTGCGAGGTGAGATACTGCGAGCCGTATCAGGCCGAGTGCGACTTGGTCAGGTACTCTGTCAGGTGATCAGCCCATGCGTCCAGTGGGAAAATCGAGGCTCGGGGCCCGACTTTGCATATGCCGGCCCAAGAATTCTGGGGGAAGTGTCGCACGACCATGATCCAGTCAGGAGTTGGAAGCGGCTGGTTTTTGTTCTTTCTGAGGCGAATGCATGGTTGTCAAGGTGAAGCAATGTGAAGACCACATGGACATCCTGACAGAAGCGGATTGGGTTCCTTGGCGCTGGTAAGTGTCCTTTCAAAGGGACCTGACAGAAAGTCGGACCATTGGATACTGGATTGGCCTTTACTGCGCAATACATTTTTTTGCAGTCATCCACCCTATTTGGCTTTGACAGGAGTATTGATTGGTGGGCCTTTCTTCGTTCAAGGCTGATTCCTTCCTACCGTTGACCCCGATCACTGAAGGTGGCGGATTCCTGCAGGGGGGGGGTTTCCCCACAAAGTGATCCAGAGACCTGAATGGCATGACCACGTTCTTCCTCATCCCTGGGATGGCAGCCCACATGGGTCTGCCAGCTTTTTGAGTGTAGCCCTTAAGCCAATCAGTTTCTGGAGTTCCATACGCCATTTTGCGGCAACCCCTCTTTGGTATCACAAGCTCTTGAATGGTTTTCCATTGACGCTCAATCTCAGGACCCAGATCCACAGAAGACTGGATCTTTGTATACCAAGTTCTGGAGGGCCTTGCGCAACTTGGCTGATCATCCCTCAGTTACAGCAAAGCAGATCGACCTTTCGACCTTTTCGTGGCCCAAGGGGCAAACTGGCAACCTGAAGACTCACCGCCTCTTGTATCCTGTGCAAGTGAGATTGGCTACCCCAAGTTTCCCCCTGCTAATATTAGACCTCCTTTTATTAATAGTACCCTCAATTGTACAAACTGTTTTGCTACTTCAGGATCGATTGACTGTTTTGGGGGTCCTCCATCATGGAAAGTTTGTTTGCCGGAAACAACGCCGGACAAATATGGGCAGAATAGCTTGGCAAACAAGTCGGGCAAAAGCACGGGCAAACACATCCTGGCAAACATTGGGAAATCCATGGAAGTCGTTTGCTTGAAGTGGTCCCCAAGCCATCAAATTCAAAATAACTTCTTTACAAACATGTGAGGGCAAACAGTCACACAAAGGGGGGTGCCCACAAGAGGCCCATATCCTTTTTAATGCGACTGTTTTGGGGTCCTCTTTAGTGTTCAGCTGGTTTCGGGGTTGCTGAAAACTGAAAACCAAAGCCTCAGCCTTTTACGTTTAAAGAAGGGGACTCATCCTAGGCTCTCCCCAGCTCAAAGGTTCAAGGCGTGAGATCTAGGAAATCCATTTTGCAAGTTGTTTCCCAAACCATCAAATTTAAGATAACTTCTTTACAAACAAGTGCGGGCAAACAGTCACACAAACGGGGGTGCCCACAAGAGGCCCAGATCCTTTTTAATGCGACTGTTTTGGGGTCCTCTTTAGTGTTCAGCTGGTTTCGGGGTTGCTGAAAACTGAAAACCAAAGCCTCAGCCTTTTACGTTTAAAGAAGGGACTCATCCTAGGCTCTCCCCCAGCTCAAAGGTTCAAGGCGTGAGATCTAGGAAATCCATTTTGCAAGTTGTTTCCCAAACCATCAAATTTAAGATAACTTCTTTACAAGCAAGTGCGGGCAAACAGTCACACAAAGGGGGGTGCCCACAAGAGGCCCAGATCCTTTTAATGCGACTGTTTCGGGGTCCTCTTTAGTGTCCAACTGGTGTTGGGGGTTGCTGAAAAGACGGTCCTTGGCAATACTAAAGTAGAATTCGCCATACTAAAGCAAGTACGGGGATCTGAGAGTCTGCCTTGGCAATATTAAAGTAGAATTGGCAATGCTAAAGTAAGTACTGGGAAGCTGAGAGTCAGCCTTGGCAATACTAAAGTAGAATTGGCAATACTAAAGCAAGTACTGGGGAGCTGAGAGTCTGCCTTGGCAATACTAAAGTAGAATTGGCAATGCTAAAGTAAGTACTGGGAATTTGAGAGTCAGCCTTGGCAATACTAAAGTAGAATTGGCAATGCTAAAGTAAGTTCTGAGTACTGTCCCTCCCAGACCCCAGGCTTTCACCAAAGAGTGTCCCGCCGACTGGTTCCACTGTTCAGGGGGGGGTTGCATTGAAGAGAGTCCAACATTATTTGAACCAAGTCCCCGGAAACCCAAAAGGCTCCACTGGCTCAACCCGCGTAATGCATGCGAGGTGTGCAGTACTACGACCCCTCCCGCTGGGGCAGCGACGACACTGATGCGGGCAAAGGTTTGGAGACTTCCTTGAGCTGCCGCTTTGGCATGGGGGGGGGGGTTGCTTTGACCCAGCAACCAGAACGCAAGGTTCCCCGCATTCCTGAAGGATTCCAAAATAGTCTCAAGTGTCCCGGGTGTGCAGGGAATGTTTTGACGCTCTTGTTTGAACAATTTCAATCATGTTTACCAAAAAAAGGTGAAAATATCGAGCTTTCTCGTGAATGAAGAAACCCGTGCCTCAGAATTTTACGGGGAGGGCATGCTTTTTCCAAGTGAGCCGCACATTGGTCAATGTTGCGCAGTTCCAGAAGCTGAAGATTTGCCCAGGTCCAGATGCACAGTTTTCCTCACCTAGGTCCCCCAGCTGGGTGCCCTTCTACCGTGTTTTTTTTGGGGGGGAGGGTTCCCCTACTAGAAAAAAAAGGTTGGTACCAACTTATTCCAACCTCTCTACTGGAGGACCTAGAAGGTGACACTAGTGGCTGAATGGTTGCCCTACAGAAACAAATTGGTACCCGTATTCTGGATGTCCTAAGCGCGTTGAGGGAACCAGTTGGAGATCCTGGACTTGGGACTTGGGAAGTTGGCTTCCGAGCTGCTGACTTGGGGCAGAGCGTTTTGCGCATTGGGGGCAAGGGGTGGAAACCCTGCTTGTTTCGGAAGGGGAAAGCGCTCAATCAGCTAGGGAACACAGGAATCCTGGAAGCATACCCCAAAAAGCAACAAAAATATGTGTGGAGAGCTTGGACTGGGAGAACCGGATTTCTCGAGGTTCCTGCGCCGGTTCCATGTTTTTAAGCTGGGCGCCGCTTTGTTGTTCTTGTTGTTCTTTCTTTTTTTTAACTTCAGAGTTGCTATTGTTCAAGCGCATCTCTTCCAGTCTTCCCAACAATGTCGTTTTTTCTTCCCCACGTCCAAAGTCCCAAGTACATTCACCGAAAGGCAGGGGTTTCTTGACCCGGGCGCGTTTTTTCTTCGGTGAGGCATGAAGGACAAGGGCTGCGGGTGCAACAGCAACAAGTGGTTCCACTGGAAGTATCCCAAGCTCGGCGGCAACCTGTACTGGGCGGCAGGCCTGGACAGATCTCGATGCCCGGGCGTGGGGCGCGGGGCTTTTCGGGTGCTTTTTGTTGTTTAGTGTTGTTTTTTTGCACCCAGGTGACGTTGTTTCACGCTTTTTTCTGAGATGAGGGGGAACCGCAGATGTTGGTTGAACCCCCAAAAATATCGGAGCCTCCTTTTGTCGGGTTTGGATTGGTTTGAAGATTTGAAGCCTCTGTTCTTGTTGAGGGCAATTCAGAAGCTAATTTGGGGGGAAGCTGATTGTTTCATTTGTGTCCAGGATGTTTGCCTTCAAGTCAACCACCAACAAAAAGGATTTATTGGGTGGCTTCTTAGTGAGTGATGTTTGATGTTCCTGGGACAAAGGGGAGTCTTGATTTGGTTTTCTTTCTTTTTACGGACCTGCTCTTTCTTACTCGGCTCTAAGCAAGAAAATTCCCTGGGTTTATTGGGGACGGTCCCGACCCAACCGAATCCGCATGTTTCACAGCTGGACTAGCATCCCTGTGTCGTGGTGCCATTCTCCATGTGGAGCCTTCAGCTGCCTTGTCCTTCTTCTTTGGTCGCTTCCCCTCAAAACCAGTCGAGACAATTATATAGCCCAGGTGTCCGCCTGTGTCCCACAAGCAGTTTTGAGAACCCCCCAAAATGCCTTGCCACTTTAAGTGGCATGGGTCTTTCCCCAAAAACAAAGCCAGCCAAGTAAAAAACGTGGGGTCCCGGCGGCGGCCAGTGGTGGTATTTTTGTCCCCGATCTAAGCGCTCCGGAACCCATCCCAGGACCCGAGACCCCGCTTGCACGGGAAGTACCAAGGCGACTTGCTAAAGGTGCGCTAGGGAAGGAGAAATGGAGTGACCCCGATAGAAAATCCATCCAAGGGGTGGTTTCCTTCAAGGGGATCCCTAGTTAAAACATCCAAGTGGTGGTTTCCTTTAAGAGGATCCCTAGGTTCATTCCCTCCTTCCGTACCGATATCTCGCACCAGCACCAGCAAGTGGTTTCCTTTCCCCAAGACCGACGGGAGGTTTTTTGGGGGATTTGCAACGAGGCAACGAGAGCATCGGCCCCTCCGGTCGCCCGGGAGTCCGAAGTCTGCAGAGCATCGTGGCAGGGAGCCTCAGGGAGCCTCAGGTTTGCCACACGACTCCGGAGGTCAGGGCTCCTTAAAAGATCTCCATTTTGCAACCATTTGAAACATATGTTGCTTTTTCAACACCAAAACAAAGTTGGAAACCACCATTTACAAGTTGCAATGTTCAGGTGTACAATGTAAGGATCCCTCCAAGGGTCCAAGCAAAAAGCACCCTCCCAGGGAAAACAAAAAGCCGTTTGCTTGACCGGAGGCCAAAGTTCTCCACCGATCGGGTTGAATGGGAGCAGCTTTGAAAGCCAAGGGAATGCTGCTGAATGAATGGCCATATGTTTAAATGAGGAACCGCCTCCAAAGCGTTTGATGCATGGACATAAATCCCCACCTTGATTGGCATGGCTCAACGCTTTTTTTTCCTGAGGTCCGGTCGTACAACGACGCCGGGGAGGCCAGGCGAAGCGAGCAAAGCGTGGCGGGATTTTTGGCCGCCGCATGGGGCGGTGTAGCTTTGGTTTCTGTTCGGTGTCCCTTTCTTCTA